ACCATTTCTCCTCATCTGTAATACTCCTTCCGACCTCCTGTATTTGTTCACATTTGACTTTTGGAACTGTTCATCTAAACAATTTGACTCATCAAATTTTCTCAATGTGTAAGCCTAAATATACTCATGTGTGATCTTGTTTGATTTGTCTTAACATATAGATTATTAATATATAATTTCTATAATTTTTTAATATACAAATTACAAGATAAAATAGATTAAAGAAGTGCATTGGATGGTGTGTAAAAATGAAAGTGGACAAATACTCTGGGACGGAGGTAGTAAATAATTGTGGCTCACTAATACGTTTGTAACATGAGTTTAATTCCAAATTCCCCATCTGACTTTTATTTTTGTACTTCAAATTTTTTTGAATGGTGATCCCGAAATTATGAAGATTTAATTATCAAGATAGAGGTGGATTCACCACATGCATGCTACAATTATATATTTATATATATTGCTCAAACAAATTAAAGAAAGCCTCTGATCTAATGTTACACCACTTCAAGTGGTGTAATATCGTGACACCAGTAGTATTAGAACACTTACGGTGCTTCGTTTGATGATTCTTACCCTCCTAACCCCCCACTCCGATCCTCTGCCTCCCTGGATCACTTGGAAACTATAGGTTAGGAAGTAGAAACCATCAATTTTACGAACGGAGCAGTGTACGTGCTCCAAAATCACAGGTGTCACAAACCGGTGTCATTTTTGTTGGTGACATTACAGTTTCTGCAAATTAAATACCCAGAGGTTAATTAATTTTTTTCAATAATAATAAGTATAAATTCTAACAACAACCTCATCATATCAATATATCTACAAACAAACAAAGAGAACCATGGGATTGGTACAATAATATATATTTGGTTAGTTGTGTATAGCATTTGAAGAAGAAGATAGAAGATTTGTTGCGAAAAAATAAAGTGATGATGAGGAGGATTATATATACATTGGTTAAAAGTTTGAATAAAGTCGAACACCTTATAATAATAAGACAAAGAAAATCTGGGGGTAAGCGGTCAGCAAATTTGAAGTACTGTGCAAAAATGAGTATTCTTTTTTTTCTTCAAAGATCTTAGCCAAGCTAAGCTAAGCTAAGCCTATATATTTGGGTACGTTGTTTTGTTTTGTTTTTTCTTGCGTCGGCATGCATGCATCATTACCATATTCACATTTATCAATGTTTATCATACGAAGTACTCCCTCCGTCCCACTGTCTTTGTCCACTTACCTTTTAGCACATCATCCAATGCACTTTTTTAATCTATTTTATCTTGTAATTTGTATATTAAAAAATTATAGAAATTATATATTAATAATCTATATGTTAAGACGAATCAAACAAGATCACACATGACTATTTTCAGACTTACACATTGAGAGAATTTGATGAGTCAAAGTGCTTAGATGAACAGTTCCAAAAGTCAAATATGGACAAAGACAGTGGGACGGAGGTAGTATTATATATGCACTACTTGGGCATGTAATGTATGTGACAAATTTGACGATCCATGTCCATTCCAGGGCCGGTCTCGAGAATTTTATGACACGTCGCGAGACCAAAGAAAAGGACTCTTAATTAATCTCGACTAATTAAATCTTATTTCATACCGAACATAAATTTATTTTGTAAATACGTGAGATATCAAATAATCACATTCATATCCCCCAAATTTAGGAGATATTATTGACCCTCTACTTCTTTGAATTCTTTGTATGTTTCATCAAATAGCAACAAACAATTAACATCGATAAATATAAAGACTCATATCTCCTAAGCTCACCAAATAGGGCCTTAGACTATCAGTAGTATATACTTGGCTTGTTTCAAAAGTATAGCCAAATGGCGTGTTTCAAAGATGGAGCAGTTGCCGCACCCACCATTCATTCGTGTGTGACTAGGCTCACAGCTTCACTCAAGCCCACGTCTGGAAAAAATGCGTCCAATCTGAATTATTATGGGACTTGAAAGTATCAATTCTACCAACAAAGCACCATAGGTTCCCTAGGTTATAACATGACCTTGCTTTCAAGGTCAAAAGATCGCTCCCGTTAATAGTATTTTGGACGTATATTTTTTGAAAAGTATTTGGACATATAATTGTCAAACTCCTCATGTAAGATTTGTTGTGGAGAATAAAAGTTACATTCTTCCTCCGTCCCAAAAACATTATCACATTTCACTATACAAACATCATAAAACTTTTTGTTTATTTTATATTTTCATTTATAATTTGAAAAAATAAAATATTCTTATCGCCTCTTGTTTTGTAGAACTTTTGATGTCGTTTTTAAATATGTAAGTTTTATTTTTTATATTTATACAAATCTTTAAATAAAATGATTGAAAAAATTTATAAATTTGCTTCGTTTAGCGTAATGTTGCAATCTTTTGGAGTATTACTTTTATTTTTGTGAGTAGATTTAAGATTTCACATTATTGACTCTACTTCAAAGTTCAAACCTAAGATTTTAAAAATGCAAATGTCAAACTCTAAAAATTAAATCCCGGAAAATATATTTCTTAACCAAGGGGTAAAAAGTCACCAACAAAATAGTCAATGTGTAAATGCATCCAACCTCCATCCTCCCAATTTACTCAATTTTTTATCGTAATAAATACGATTAATTAATAATTCTTGATACTCCCACAATTTTTTATTAAGAGTCTATTATAACTTTTATAAAATACTACCTCCATCTCAGAAAAACCTTCATGTTTTAACTTTTTTGGTTAAACAATGACATTTTTTAGCACAAATTATGAAAAATATATATTCACTTATCAAATATAATTAAGTTCATCTTAGGATACAGTTTGATATATCAAATTTTTATAACATTTATTTATTTAAATTATTTTTAATTTGAAATCAAAGTATATCAAAGTTTTACAAAAAAAAGTCAAAACAAGAAAGTTTTTTTATAGACAATAAATAAAGAATAGGAGTATATAGTACGTACAATTAGTAAAACATCTGCCTTAACTATAAATGTTTCCTATTTCTTTTTTTATTTGTCTAGAAAAATTTCTTTCTATTCAAATAAAACTTTTAATGATTCATATTATTGCTCTTTGAATAATGTCAAACACTCAATTTCATTTTTCTGAGTTTTCATATCAATTTGATTATAAAATATATTTTTTTTTATAAGAGGAAGAGATTAATGTTCAGATTTGAGACAAAACCGTGGGCGGTGAGTATGAAAAATTCCTGGTGGGGGGTTGTGGAATTAATTATTAAACACACGGTTTACTTTTGCTATTCATTTTTTCAAAAAAAAATGACACTGAAAAAGGTTTTTTTTAGAGAAAAAAAAGCCAAATTTCCATAACATGCGGATCGGACTATTATTCTCTTTAGTAATAAAAAAGGAAAAAGTGTCTAAAACAAATTAGAGTGATAAGTTAAATTTATTACTTCCTTCCTAAATGCGTGATATTGTTTAATCTCGTGAAGTTAAAAAAATGTTTTAAAAAAAAGGAAGTATCTGGATACAATTTGTATAGAGAAAGAAGAGTTGTTTTTTTACTAAATTATTGTTTTTTAAATACTTAGTCTCTTTTCTTTTCGGTTGGAAAAATCAACTTTTAACTTCATCCAACTTCTTCTAGTTCCTTCCTACTTCCCCTAATTTTTTTAATTTCTTCCAGTTTTTCCAATGACTTAAAAATTGTATTTATACATGACGATAGCACAATAGCATTATATATCTAAATTTACGACATACCTCTCAAACACTGACAAAGATGAATTCTTTTTTATATCCAGTATTAGTTTCTTTACATTTTTATTGAGATGAGCATTTAGTTGAGTAATTTTTTTAACACTTTTTTTTCCAACATTTTCCAACTCCTTATACTTTCTTTCAACTTCTTTCAATTTATTCCAACATTTAGCTTTAAAATTCTACTCCCTTAAATTGCCTATTTGCCTTTTTTCTCCGTCCCAAAATAAATTGCCTGTTAGTTGTTTTCGTAAACTTTTAAAAATAAAATACCTAAACTACCCCTAAAATAAGTCACACTTCTTCACCTTATCTTCTCATTCATCATCACCCCTCTTAAAAAGTAATGTCAATTTTGAAAAATCAACTCTATTTTTTATTTTCCTTAAATATGCCCAAAAGTCAAAACAGGCGATTTAAATTTGGACGGAGGGAGTAATCGTAAAAAACAAGTTCTTATTTTTGTTACTCCCCCCGTCGTTAAACGATTGTCACAGTTAAGCTTTTTTGGTCAAATTGTGATCTCCTTTGACTAAAAAGTAAAAGTAGTTTAAAATAATTAAATATTATAAAAATTTGATATTTCAAAACTATATTTTAAACTAAATCTAAATTTACATTATAACTAAATATACATTTTCAATAATTCACGGTCAAGAAGTGCCACAATTTGACCAAAAAATCAAACTACGACAATCTTTTAAGAACATGGGGAGTATTATCGTTAGTATCAGTAATAATGACGTATAGGCATCATCATTAGTGTTTAGTTAAATAGAGGTTTAATAGAAATTGGAAGAAAAAAATTGTGTACCCGTTAATACTCGGAAATATACGTGCAAACAAACACGTAAATTTAAATTTAGTCAATGCATTGATTTTCCACTACCATGTTGTTTGGCATTAATTTCAACAACTTGGGATCCAGGAAAAGAAGACAAGAAGTAATAAAGGGTTGGGAGATAGTCCCCTCCAATTTTTTTAAAGGCAATATGAAATAACAACGACACCCAGTAATAAATTTAGGGCATGTTTGGAAATAGCGTTAGATGTTAGCGTTAGCATTTAGAAAATGCTATCTACGAGCAACGTTTAGCGTTCGCATTTTCAAAGTTAATATGCACCGTTAAAATTTTATCTAAAACGCTAACGCTAATAAAAAAACGTTATTCTCAAACAGGTCTTTAATATGAAAAAAAATTAGAATAAAACATAGATTAGATGTAATTTACAAGTAGCATACATTTGGAGCATATATAAACATGCAACAAAACAACACTTCATTGTCTTGTCCAGTCTCAAATGTTTGGTCATTTTCATGAGATGAAACATTCGAAAACAGAAAACCTTACCAGTTGGTATTCAGTCCTTCACTCTGTTTCTGCATCAAGCACCCACCCACCATGAGTCTCCGAGTCGGCGTTCCTTGCTCTAACCGCTCAGTCTTTTTTTCCCTGCAAAAAACTCAAGTGGAACTTGTAAATCTATGTTTCGATTTGTAACATTTGGTTGCAATCATTGGCTTATTCTACTTGCTAATAGCAGTACATGATAATCTTCTCAACAAGCCATTTTAGACTTTTCATGTTTTACTCCTGTTTGGGTATTTATGATTTTAACCTATTAAAAAAGCACTCCTTTTGTCTCCAAATTAACTGACACATGCATGGTGAGATGTTTGTCTTAAGTTACTTTCAATTTTTTTTTTTTATAAAACAAGAGGTGACATGTTTATGTAAGTAACTCTAAAGTTCATTTGGAGACTGATCAGTAATTTAAAAGTTACTTCTAAACTACTTTGTTACTGCAGTCAAATTAAGTTTCTGTTTGGTAGAAATGTTCGGTATAAGACTTGTAGGTAGAAAACCCATATTACCAAACATGCACTTAACATATACATAGAACGAAAATGTATACGCCCAACTTTATAAAAAGTAATAAATAATTCTTACTCTTTTTTTAATTCTACTCGCCACAAAATAATTCTTACTCTAGAAATGTATTGTATACATACCAAAATTAGTGTGCCCTTCCCATAAAAAAGGGTGCGTTGTTTCACCGAGGCAACCCAAATAGATTGGTTGAATCCCACATGACTCTCATGAACCCGAATTTTCTTTCGGCTTGTTCAAATGAGGTACCTGTGACTTCAGAAGGGTATGGAAGCCAAGATAATCTATCAACTTTCAGATCAACAATGTCCACAACACATGTTCCCAGCTCATCCACATCCTTCCCATGCCATTTGCCACTAACCTGAAAAACCTTTGCTTTTCCAATCTCTTCATTTTTGTCATTTAAGAGCATGACGTACTGGCCTGGCTGGCACTTGGTCGATTGACTGGATCCAGTCACAGTTCTTGAGTTCCCATTAGCAACAGTATCTCTCGAGGTGATATCATCAGCAGGGTCGCCAGCTGAATCTAATGGATGGGTTAATACAGTGCCGCCCTGTTTCTCAGGAGGATTGTCTCCTTCAGATGACATACATCCATCCTTAACAGCGCGAGCAAGCTTTGCTTTTCGGTTATTCAGCCTGTTGGAACAAAACAAAAAGGTGCACATAAAATGACTATGTTATCACATATTGCCAGATATGAAGAGATCACATTTCATTGGATAATCTCATAATGTTGATTTCAAGAAAGAAAAGTTAAGAGGGCATGCTGTTCATCATGTGTGTTGCTCAAGGAACAAAAGCAATGGAAAACAATACGAAGGAACATCCCAATCTATGAATGTGAAATGGTTAAAATATGGTTAATTAGAAAATCAAAAGGAAGAAACATGTCTCCTTACCAATTTTTAAGCTGGGCTCTTGAAACCTCAGGACCCTGGGAAAGAGGTTATTAAGTCTTTAAGGAAGGATTATAACTTACAGGCTTAAATAGTGAAAATATATAAAAGACAATTATCGTGACATACATGGACACATAATTCATTAGCCCAGAAATCTAAAGAACCTTTATTTCGCTGCAACCCAGGTTCCAACATGAGGGCACTCTCTATAATACTTAATTGTTTAGCATTCATTATGGTACGCTTTCTTTTCCTGTGAGGAATTGCTTCATGCTGTGCACTCTCTGCCATTTCATCATCTCTCACATGTCCCACTCTATCTCCCTTGATGTGTTCAATATGGTTTATCACTTGATTAGTGGTAGAGTTCTTCTCTGGTTTCGAGTTGGAATCTGATTCATTTGCCTCAAAATAGTCTGCTTCTTTCTCCAACTCTATGACTTTAACTCCACCCCAAATAGATTCAGCTTTCTTGATTTCCACATGAGCAGGTTTACATGGGCCACTGCCACCGATTTTGTGCTGGTCCACTTCTAGACAAGATGATATATCCAATTTATCTTCCCTGATATCCGCCCTTTTGTTAGTGAGGTCTGGTGGGTCCACAATCCTCAGTTGTGGGAACGAGCCTCCTACTTCACTTTGAGCCTCCTGAAGGACGAATACGTCAACTTAAGCCAAATATAGTTAAAGAAACAGATTTTTTATCCACCGACATTTCCCCTGGAAAACCATCCACTCCAAGGAAAACTGAAAGGGGTGACATCTAGTTCTTTTAACGGGTTAATTACCCATCACTATAATAGCATTGAAAATAGTTGCCAGGGCCCAATTAGCCAGCAGTGGAAATCTCAACCTAGAGTTAAGATTGGTTTTGCCCACAGACGGTGAGACGGGAAACCTATGACTATGGGTTTGGTACAGTCATATAGTAATTCTTGATTAACAAGGATAAACATAAAAGATTTTTTAATGCAAACCCCCGACTTAATTATTTTTGGTTCGTGACTTGAGAGCTGGCTCATGCGCTTTTAGGTTGTGTGTGTGTGTGTGTGTGATACTAATAATTTTAAACATATGTGAACTAATCTTGACTCGGAGTCTATTATCCGGGCCTTCAACAACCCAGTTGAACCCACAAAAGTAGGACCTTACCCCTAGGTCCCCTACTCGAAAGTATAGATGTTGTCTCCAAAGAGACCCCCGGCTCAAGCACCACAGGTAACCACGTACGCAGCCTGACCTCTTTGTTTAAAACATAGAGTGGCTGTTTCTGGATGACCCACGATTGCAGATAATCAAACCGAGCTCAAGCCATACAAAAACTACTTCGTAGACCGTATAAGCCGAACTAGAACCCAAATTATTAAGCCTATTTGAGCTTAGCGATTAAGGGAGTATTAGGCATCTGAATAGTATAGTTCGCACTTGGCTCAACAGTGGGTTACCTTTCATTCAAGCATAAATCTCATGTAATTTATTGGATGAAATGAATGAAATATTGAGCATTCAGATCATGATATTAGACAAATAGCCAAAGAGGCACAGTTCCTTTTAAGTTCTTTCAATAAAACAATTCAAACATGTGTTGAGTTTCTAGAAAATGACTTCATAAAAATTTCTAAGAAATTGTGAAAAGACATTCTGAACACAAACCAAATATGTAGAAAATAAAAAGAATAATATGCATCGTTATCAGAAGAAAGATATTACCTGAACTCTATGTTCTTCAATTTTTATAGGAATTTGATGCTCTTCGACTTTGGCGGGAACAAACAGAGACTCTAACTGAGTAATGAACACGCTGCAATAAAAGATCAAATGACATAATAATAAAATGACAGCTAAATATAGTAGTAGCAGGTAATCCAGGTATAGTAAAACAATATGTGAGACCGAGATCAATGACTAAGGAATGCAACAAAATACAAATACAGCAAAACAAACTCAGTACAATCCCAACTCTGTTGGAGTCTTTGGGGTGGGCGGGGGGGTCAAGATGTAGTAAGTAGTAACAAAATATGAAGAGAAACTAAAAAGGGATGCAGTAACATGCTTGCAAGTTTTTTATATAGGTCACCTTAAAAGTTGCACATCCTCCTCATTAAGAAAAGAAGGAATTAAGGTTTCTGCATGACTCAGAAGTGAACCTGGAGACACTAGTCATTAGTAAAGCAAACAGTTTTTCTGATAAAAAAATCCATCAGGAAGATGTACTTACCTAGGTTTTTGCAAATAACAGCCACCTTTTCAGCATAACAGATAGATGTAAAACTTACAGCTGATTTGCTTGGTTCATTTTGCAAGCACTCATGAAACTTTTTAAGGAAAAGATCCTTATCANTAAAAGTTGCACATCCTCCTCATTAAGAAAAGAAGGAATTAAGGTTTCTGCATGACTCAGAAGTGAACCTGGAGACACTAGTCATTAGTAAAGCAAACAGTTTTTCTGATAAAAAAATCCATCAGGAAGATGTACTTACCTAGGTTTTTGCAAATAACAGCCACCTTTTCAGCATAACAGATAGATGTAAAACTTACAGCTGATTTGCTTGGTTCATTTTGCAAGCACTCATGAAACTTTTTAAGGAAAAGATCCTTATCATCTAGGATTAGAGAACATATACACATGAGAGAAAATAGAGAGAGAGAGAGAGAAAGAAACAACACCACATTTACGAATACCATGTTAGATTTTTCTAAAGAAACATACCTTTACAGATGTCGGGAACAAAACAGTGAAGATTTGCAATAATTTTCACCAATAAGGAAGTTCTCTGGTGTCCAGAGGGTACTCTAGATACATTGCAAGGGAGCAACGTTAATTCTGAAGAAGCCCCAATCAACTGATACGATGAAAAAAAACTGAACAGCCACCCAGCAGCGGCAAATGGAACATACTCTAGAGTAGCATCTTCCTCCCGAACAGGAAGGTCGGATGAACACCAACAAGACAAAAATTCTTCATGGCAAGGATACAAGATGGCTGACAAAATCTCTGTCTGAAGGCGCGTAGTCATATACAGGAGTCAGCAATACATCTTATTTCAATTATCTTGAGGAGCAGAACATGTTCACAAACTAGCTACTCAATGTGGTGATTAAGTTATTAACCAGATCTTACAAAGTGTGTTGTGATATAGGACCGGAAATTTGAATCATCGGAGAATATTTCAGTCAGTCGCATTGCATTGAGTTGCAATAGTCCACTTGGGTAGGTTTTCTCAGACAAAGCATAAGGTTGTTGGGATTTCCTTTCAAATGTGTTCTTCAATAACTCAAGAACCTACAGAATTTAAAAGATTATGTCCCATCCATTCCAAAAACAGTTCGATGACTAATGATATGGTTATTACTTTGAGTAACATACATAGAAGAGCACTGTTTGGTAGCTTGACAAGGTTCAATTTACTAACGTCATCTAAGACATGAATAAAGAACAACAATAAGAATTATGATAACATGCTTCAGAAACCAACCTTAAAAGCAACAGACTTTGCCAATTCAAGGCTTGTAGGAGTGCTCGCAACCTCATCCAAATAAGAGACGCACTCCGATTCACAGAGGTTCAACAACTGCATAAATGGCATGCATACATAAAGGAAAACTATTAAAAAAAATAACACAAAAGCATGTCCAAAAGAAGCGCAAGCCTTCATCAACAATTAGCAAAGGGGCCCATGCTTATTTCCTTATTAGTAGTTATTAAGACTTACAATAGACAAAATTTTAGATTTTAGTCTAGAAACAGATGCTACGATAGAAGAAGACTCCAGGAACAGTGAAGATATGTTTAAGCTCATGATGGATTGAGCCAAAAAAAGAATCCCACCGTTACTGCATAGCTCCTGAGATAGAAGGAAACGGTGAGTCAATTAAAGGAAGAGGAAGCTATTTAAAAAGTTATGGGTTAGAAAATGAAAAACTGAAATCATTTACTCCCCCCATCGGTTAAAAAGAGCCATGCTTGAAAACACACTTTTGTCCCAAAAAAAGAGTCTAATTTGAACAGATTGACTTGGCAAAGTTTTTGATCAAGTAAAGAATGTGTGATTGAGTATTATACATAGAAGAAAGAAATATTGTGAATCACGACTTTTTAAATATAGTAACTACCGCATCTTTTTGGGACTGACCAAAAAGAAAAGTACGGACATCTTTTTGGATCGGAGGGAGGAGAATTTTCATATGATATAATTTCATGTGGGTCAATTGGTCAACCAAATCAAACCGCTTAATGAATATAAATAATTTTCCTTATTTTAAATGCCACATCAAGTAGTGGGAAATATGCAGTCATTTTAGTAAGGGTAAATAACATTTTCTGGCAATAATAGGAGTTCATTGCAGTTGCTAAGTAAAGAATCAAAAGAAACACATACTTGGAAGAAAAACATGTAAATCACTCATTTCCATAAATAGATATAATAAATCAATGGAAAAATATTATTTTACATAGCTTAAGATAGAAATATGCATAGATAACTCACAATTGTTAGTGCAATAAAAGCAAGCAACAACATCTAATTCACCATAATAGAGCATATTGCATTCGTCTAATTGTAAAAATAAATTGAACTATGACATAAACCTTGTGAGGTTATGAACTCCACTTAACCACTTTAACAACAGACCCTCATAATCACTACAGGCATTCTACTCATCACAGGTAGGAAAAAAGGTAAAAGCAGCATAGAAAATTGATACAGATGATTGTCGAAACCTTATTCTTAAGAAGTCGATCGCGGAACACTTTTTGCTGGCATAGTGACTGAATAAACTGTAGAGAGGCCTCGCACTGCTGGCACAAATGATGCAATATTTCTACAGCCTTAGAAGTAGATTCAGCACAAGAATCAGAATATTCAACTGACAGACTGCTCTGAAGAGACTTTATATCAGTGCAAAGGGCAGCAAATGTAGCATCCATGAATATATCAACCTGCAACAGAGCTTTGTTATCATTTTCATACATCTGGATCACTTTGGTACTTTAGCTTACATCCATTTACCAAAAAAGGACAGCATAAGAAGGCTAACCTTATTGTATGCCAGAAAAACTTGAGCTAATTCATTCCATTGTGAAGAAATACAGGCTGTCAATACATACAAGCTGGAAGCAACTAGAGTGGAGTGCAAAAGAACCATGTCATTTGAATCCTGAATTTTCTGTGCAATTGTCACCTTTGTCAGGGGGTTACACCGGTAAACAATAATGCACTATCAGATTTTAGAGAAGATATGAGAAATAACCTGACTTTGAGTACAAAGTATGATTAGAGAATAAAAGACCAGATCAAGTAGCTGTTCCGATATTTTAATATCATCAAACAATATCTGGAACAAAGACATAAAGAGGAAATGTAAGTTTACATAGGGCTCCACATTGCATAAAACTCGTTTTAAATATATTGTGATCTTGCCTGTGCCAAAGATCAAAGTAACTTTGCTCTAAAACTACGTTAGAATGATGTCAAACAGATGAAACATATTTAGCTCTGACCTCTTCAATTTTAGGATGCCGAGATGCTATATCACTCAAGGCGTACAAAAGCTGAAAACCAGATAACAAGTATTTGAGCAGTGCTTCATTTGTTTCCCGTGCCATGACCACCGCAATTAGGTGCAAACCAAGGTGTCTAGTGAGTTTTTCCAAATCAACCTACAAGATTAAGCAATAAAGAGCATCTTTTAAGGCCGCACAAATGTGCCGTAAAAATAAGGGGGAAAAGAGTACAAAACAATGAGATGAACATCGACCTGCACATTTGATCCATCGGGAGTAGTATGTCTTATAATATTGTTGACAGCATCCCTGATCAACCTGCTTAGCTCTTGAGAATTAAGAGCATGTAGTCCTTTAACGGCTGAAACTAGGTCCAGGTGCTACCAATAAAAAAGATGACTGTTAAAAGATAATATCATTCAGCAAACAGAAACGGGACCATATGAACTAAAACAGGAGTAATAGGACTGTCTACAAACTGCAATGCCTTCTAGCAAAAGTGATGGAAGGATCAATCTACACACGTTAAAAGATTGATCATTGAGGGTAAACATCCAATATTCACTGTTTACATGGATTGACTTACACAAACTATATTAGTGCATCTTCGCTCATTCCACCCCCGGTCCTATCCCCTTGGAAATACATAGGGAAGCATTAATTTTCCCCTTCAATTTCCATACTAAAGCAATTAATATTCTCCATCATGACACAGAATGGCACCAAAGGCAGAAATTCTTTACTATTAGTATCTCTCCAAATGCACACAACAAGACGACACCCGGCTAATGTAGCCACGTGGGGACATCCTATACCAGATTTAGGAGCTCAATTCTCTCTATCTTGAGGTGCATCCCGAAATGGAAAACAGAAACTATTGCATCATTCTTAATTACTACAAAAGCCAAGGAGCTGAATAAATTTCCTATAACATTCTAATTTCAAAAACTCACCAGCTCCCCTTTTCTAGCCAAAGTACTAGCAGGCTCACCGTCGTATGTCTCTTCCTCTTCACAAATCATCATTTCAGGAAACCTGCAATGCCTTCCCCGAATAGCAATAAGCATTTAAAGGGGGGAAAAATCAAAAGACCAAAAGAAGAAAAAGAAAGAGGAAAACAATGTTTCCTTATTTTTGCATCATTAACATCCTGCACAGCTCAGAACTTTCAAAATCCACCATTTCATATGGGGGGAAATCTAAAACCCCTAGATTTTACTCAACCGCAGTTAAAATAAAACCCTGAGAAGCATGACCAGCCCCAGAAAACGAGCATTTTAAACTTTTGTTTTCAACTTTTTTCAAAGTTAAGAAAGGTGGAGATGTGTGGCATTCGACGATCAACGAAACCTTACGTATGTGAAAGTGCAGAGAACCGGCCGAGTAGCTCAAGAGACATCCCGACGGCAACGCAGACGCCACGGAAAAAGACAGCGGCGAGAGAGAAGTGGTGCGGGAGCAGCGGTGCACGGCGTCGAAGTCCGGTTCGCTCTTATTCGGGTCAAGATTACTGGTTGGCATCAATCCGAAAATCAATTTCTCATTTTATTTTTCTATATCTATTTTTATTTAGATATATATTATAATTATTTCCAAATTATGTTTCAAAATGAATTTTATGATAGTAAATTTATATAAAAAAATTCAATGTACTTTTTTCAAAATACGTGATCAAAATTTTAAAAATTTGATTACAAAAATCAAACTGAAAAATTAATTATAGGACAAATGAAATACGAAGTAAATAGTAAGTTAAAAAGCACTCGTATATAAAAACACTCACTAAGGTTGTGTTTGGGAAACGGCTTTTTGATTGGGTTTTGACTGACTTTGGCATTTTAACTAATTGAACAGCCAAAATCGGTTTTGGTTGATGGCTTTTTCACTTGGATGTTTGATCCAAAAAGCCAAATTTCGAAAAGTCAAAGAAAGTAACGTTTAGACTTGACTGTTAGAAAAATAATTTTTTTAATTATTTTTCTTGAAAGATTTTCAATATTATATGTAAAAAAAGCTAAAAAAAAATTAAAAATTAAAAATCAAAATAAATTTGATGAGAAAATCAAAAGAAAAGAATCACTAAAAATTCATATACTATTAATTTTTTATGAATTATATGAAAGTAAAATTTAGTACTCTATATATTGAAGATTTAATTTTTACATGTACAGAAATGAAAAAAATATTGTATGTGTAAGTCAATATATATACTCCGTATATATAACAGCTATTCTCAAACACCTAATTTTACTAAATATTTTTAATGACCAGCCAACACAATCAGCTGGTCAAACTAGCTATACTAAATAGCTGACGCAAACAGGCGACAACCAACAGCCGACAGCCAAACAAGCCTAAATCAATCAACACAACTTATAAGGAGCTTAAAAATAAGCACTTGTTTTTCTAAGTGGCGGATAAGCATTGAAGTACTTCTCCAAACTAGCTAATAAGTTGTAGAAAATTGTAAATGCATAATGATCAAAAAAGGATTAGGTATATATATTAACTAAAAGACTAACTAAAAAAATATTCCAAACCTTACTTTTCATGTTTTCCACTTGTTTCAAATTGAAAAACACAAATTAAATTGAATGACGGCAGTGGAGAGAGATGTTGTGTTCGCCAGACTTATTTAGTTGCCATCATGTAAGTTTTGTTTTGTACAAGCAAAAATTGCAAAGAAAAATGTTTGTGGGTGTTAGTCCAATTTCTTTCTTTTCCCCTTCTCTACAACTTGAAGTTTATAGCAAACCACATCGCTTTGTGGCAATCTGTTCTCACAAAAATGTAAAAAAAATAATAATGTAAATATAAACTTTCTTGTTCGAAAATGGGAAATTTTTAAAAATACTAGACCGGTTATTAGAAATTACAAATTATAAATAGAATTTGAAATTCTTAAATAAAGAATTAAATTTAATTTTAAAGCATAAATTATTACTCCCTCTATCTCATATCTTTCTTCGCGTTGCACCAAACGAAAAAAATCCAAATTTTTTCAATCTATTTTATTAAAGTATTGGTATAAAAATTAAAAATGAAGCTTACATATTTAAAAGCTATACCAAAAATTTAACAAACCAAGTGGTAATAAAAATATTTTATTTTATCAAATACGTCATGAAAAATGAAAACAAATAAAAATTCCTAAAATGTTTGAAGTTGAATTTTGCCCTGCAAAAAAAAAGATATATATGAGACAGGAGAGTAAAATTTTAAAAACACTTCCTCATTCCTAAGCTTAGGAAGGCTTAGGCGTATGAAGTGATGGTAGAAGGTATATTTCGTTGATAATTAGAGCAATACATTTATATAGGAGCTTTGAACAACTAAAGCGATTCATAAGCGGAAGAGGTTGGCAAGATTGGGGTTGCGTTAAAAACTCCAAGCAAACTTGATTCGAAATGAGAGAAATGCTAGAAAGTGAGGCGATTTGGTGAGAACGTATGCAGTATGATTCTCAGTAAAAGAGTAACAAACAAATTATTATTAGACAACGAAATAATTTTCGTGTAGCGACAAACTCACGAACAAAAGAATAATTTATAATCTTTTGCGAGAGTGAAGCACGAGATATCTACAAACATAGGTAGCACCCAAACTGTTGCAGTACAACATAGGAGGATGAGATATGGGACACTCAGGGCTCATTTAATAAATAGCGCACCCGAAGTGTTTCATCCAAGACATGGGCCAGTGCACGATTCTCGTTCAATTTTAGTGGAGGAGCGAGTTACATGCATGGCCTGTTTGAGAATATTGTAGAGCGTTAGCGTTTTGGACAAAATTTTAATGGTGAAGATTATTTTGAAAACTCCTCGTAGATTACTTTGAAAACGTCAGAGTTTTCTCCATGTAAACTTCACCAATTGAGTTTGAAATAATTAGGAATTAGGAAGATAAACAAGCTTCCCAGAAGAGCCTATCCCTCTCCTTTTCACCAATCTTCTCTAAGTTACAAACGCTAGCTTCTTCCATCTTAGCCGTCCGATCATTTCTCCCCCCTGCAGTTCTCAACGGCCAGATCTTGCTCTCCTGCCTCATCGCCACCTTCTTGCCCCTCTCCGCCGTCGTTATCCACCGTTGATTTACTTCTTCCCCTTCATCGTCCTCCTCGTCCGGCGTGATATAATAAATGTGACCATTTTCCTCGCACCCTAAACGCGTCGAGCACGCATCGTCAGCAAGCTCCGGAGGACAACCGTCCCCTTTTCGGTCGCCGGCGATGGCGCTGCGGCGGCCGCTGTAAGACAGGGCGTCGTCGTTCTCCAAAGCCGAATCCTGGTCCAGAACGGACGATTTGGCCTCCGAGGAGTCCCCGGTGGCCTCAAACAGAAAGTAACGGGACAGGTCGACGAGGTTACTGCTGTACCGGTCGTCGTTCATCATCTCCGGCTGCCGGTTTGTTTTCCGATTGAATCGGTAAAATTGGTTATTGCGCAGAGGCAGAGGCGCATCATTTTAGGCAGGCGGAGTATTTGAATTTATATTTGAAAAATGATAGGGTACACCAAATGTGTACCTCATTTGTCCCACACCCCTTCCTTGTCCACAAAAAAAGGTAAGAAATTCAAAAAAAAATAAATAAATAAAAGTAAAATAAAAATGAGTGGTAGAGAAGGGGGTGGTGTACATTTGGGGTACACCTTTGGTGTACCCCTAGCATTGTTCTTCAAAAGATACTTTTTTTGTACATGAAATGATTTCTCATTTGAATTTTGAAAGCTATACTAATAGAATTGATATGTGTTTCGATTTCTTTTTTGAAATTACACAATAAAACTCTTGTACACTTACATAAACAACTCAATAATATGAAGACATGATATCCGAAATCACTTGATTTATATAGATAAACATAAAAAAGAGATTATAATTACACGAGTAGCACACTTCACTCTTCGTATTGTTAACACTTATTTACACCTCACTCAGAAACACTCTCAAAAAACCTTCTTGATTTTTCAATCTTAAATTACCAAACGAGATATCCACAACCCTATTGATACTCATCAGAAAAGCTAGACTTATCTAAAATACTTCACATAATTTTACATCTTTAAAAACTTTTAGAAAGTTTTCACAAGCTTTCATAAGTTTTTAGAAGAATCTAGATGACCCTACATAATTCTAGATTGTATATATTCTTTCACATAGTTTTAGAGATTTCTCCACTTTTCTAGAAAACTTTAGAATAATATAGAAATTTCTATACTCCTCTACACAATTTCTAAAAATTTTTGTACTTCTCTAAAAAATTCTACAACATTCTAAAAAATTACGTTATCAACCATGATTATTTACATTACCAAAAAGATGTATTAAAATACTCGTGTACAGTGTCACATTATCACAAGAAATAAAAATGAAACTCTTATTTTGGTAGTAAAACTCCATTTTTGTATTAAAACTCCTTTTTAGATGATAAAAATATGAAACTCCTATTTTGGTACTTTTTCTATATTTTAGTGAGTGATTTTTTTAAAAATATTTTTTACTTCAAAATGATACGGAGTACTACATACTCCTTGCGCCCCAAATTTGACTATAAATGGATATTTAGAAGGTAAAATTTTTCATCATTTGAAATCATTTTATTTACAAATTAGTATATTGATAAAAAATAAAAGTTACATATTAAAAAATTACGTCAAAATTTTTACAAAACAACAGGTGATAAGTATATTTTATTTTATCATATAATCAATGAAAACATACAAATAAATAAAAATTTTCGAGATAAAAGAGAAATAAATTGTAATCAAAATTAGGCCGAAGGGAATATTTATTTTTTTCTCTTTCTCCTCATAATCTAATAAATTGTAATCAAATAATCAATAAAAACATACACTTTTTTTCTCTTTCTCCTCGTAAAATTCAAATGGCACACTTTCATCTTTATTATTGAGTACTCCGATCCGTAATAACAATACTCAGTACATTTTGATAGAGTATCTTATTTCGAAAGGAAAGAGGGTTAAGAAATAAACCGGGAATCACAACATTTCTCTCTTTTAAGTTTTAATACACTTATAATTAGATTTTGTTACTTTTCAACTATATATATGGAGGGAAATATTAAAATATTGACATTTTGTTAATATTAATAAAATTTCACCATGAGTCACATAATTACATTGAGTTGTTTGTTTGGTTGTTGTGAAATACGAGTAAAAAATTAGATAAATACAACAAAATATACAGACAATGCTATGATATTTCACTGACGGTCATTATATAGGATGCACAATAGTCATTGCCTATGTGGCTGTCTATAAAACATAAAATGTTTAGTTTCCTCCGCTTAATAATACTTTTTCAGTTTTGATTCTTTACGGTTAATCAGGCTCGACCTTTGGCTATAATTAATTAGGAATTACAAGGTATATTAATTAGATATAAGAAAAATTTCGAAATATTTTTACAAGACAAATTAAATAAAATTATTTTTGTACTAATATATAATATAATTTTCATTTAAATAATATCAAAACCTATTAATTTTAAAAATTAAAATTGAATAAATATTTTGGGACGGAGATAATATTTTGAAATAATGAATATTGGACATATGAACATTTGGACTAGATGTAACTATTTGATATAAATGAATTAAAAAACAAATTTAAAAAATAAACTATTTCGAAACACGTAAGCGGTTACACCATACTTGAAACGTCAAAAATTAAGAGCAAAAGTAAAAAAAATTTTCGATTTTTTCTTCCTTAAAAAAAGTAAAATTGGAAAACTTTAACAAAAGTAGGAGTAATCATATATTTACTGTTCCAAAAGAAATTCAATTAAGGAGTAGCTTTTAAGCTATCCATTTACTTCTCTGTCCCTGAGTATTTGTCCATTTTTAATTTTTTTAATTAAAATTGGTAAACTTTGACTAAATAAAAATGATATTAAATATTGATACAAAAGAGTTTTATTAGATTTATTGTTTCAAATATTTTCAAAATATTATTTTATTTAATCAAAATATAATATATATTTTATTTAATGATAAGTCAAAGATTCAAAATAATTGACCGAAAAAAGTCAAAATTGGAAAAATACTCAAGGATGGAGTTAGTATATGACTAAAATTTTATTTGTACCCCGTAGTTTATAATATACTCCGTATATGGCTCCGTATTTCCAAAGATTTTACAAACTTTTTCACATATTTTTGCAATCCTGTTAAACGTTTGTTAACAAAGTAGATGCGGAGTTGTGAATTAGGATTAGTGCAAAATCTAAAGATATTATCAAAAAGATATTTTGATGCATTTACATTAATATGGAGTAATTAATTGATTGATTTCTATTGGTGGGACAAGCACCGGCTCAAGGGTGGGCCAAAGTGCCCTACAGACCAGGTCCATATTTTTCTCGGGTCTAATATTTTTATTTCTTTAATATGTATATATAATAAAAAATTTAAAAGCATAATTTTTAAAGGCAGCTACAGTATTACGATATTGATATTTTCATTATAATACTGTAATTTTGTTATGTGTATTGTTATATTACGTATTAATTATTGTTTTAAAAAAATTACTTATATAATTTAATTTGTTAGGATCAAGGTCCATTTTTTCTATCTTGTCCAGGGCTATCGAATGTTCGAGACTAGCCCTGGGCGGGATCATGGGAGAAACCAAAAATGTATGATATGATAATAATTGTTTTAACTGCAAATGTACTGTAAAGAAGCAGATGTTGCGGTGCATATATGCATAGGAGACGATGTTGGATTAATTAGTGCAGAATGAGGTTCTCTAATGAGACGAGAGGAAGTGATACCTATTAATAAACTCTGGAAAATGAGGGTGAGGTGGTTTGAATTGCATGGAGTGATATGTAGGGTTGAGGTTGTTGGAAACAATCTCTTTATTATAACTGGAAATAACTCAAAACCAATTACAATAAACTCTCATATATTTCTCATATCATAACCCAAGCTTGGCTAAGATATATATAGAGCTAAATAAGCCTACAACCCATAATTCTATTCCTACTAGAACTAGAACATCTCGGGTTGGTACTCCTAATCCAACTAGGTAATTAGCCTTCATTCACCCCCCTAATTTCCGAGTTGGATTTCGGGAGATCTTCAACTCCAAGCAACATCCTCATCTCCTTGAACTTGATTCGAGCAAGCGCCTTCGTTAGAATGTCAGCCCTTTGTTCTTTCCCAGTCACGTGTTCCACAAAAACCTCATTGCGTACCACACATTCTCGAATGTAATGGTAACGGGGGTTTATGTGTTTACTTCGACTATGGAACACAGGATTCTTTACTAATGCTATCGCTGATGTATTATCAATCCGTAACACTACCTCTTGCAAATCTGAGCAGGTAATCTCGCTTAACAACATACGTAGCCACACTGCTTGACAACTGGCTGAAGTTGCTGCCATGTACTCGGCTTCACATGACGAGAGTGCTACTGTATCTTGTTTGTGCGAAACCCACGATATCGGAGACGAACCAAGATAGAAAACATGTCCTGTCGTACTCCGCCCGTCATCAGGGTCTGCATTGTGACTACTATCACAATACCCGACTAACTTGACTGATTTGCATCGTGTGTACCTTATGCCAAAACCCACTGTACCCTTCAAGTAACGAAGTATTTGCTTAGCGGCTGCCAAATGAGATCGTCTTGGAGATTGCATGTACTTACTTATAACCCCAACCGAGTAAGCCAAGTCAGGCCGGGTTTGTAAGAGGTACCTTAATCGTCCAACTAATCTACGATACTCGGTGGCATCAACTTCATCCTCGTCCTCCTTTGATAACCGAGTATTTGGGTTCATCGGCACATAGGTTGGATTGCAGTCTATCATTCCAGCATCCTTTAGAATCTTCTTCGTATATGCCTCCTGCTTGATTTGTATGTCGTTTGCTGTCTGCAATACTTCTATCCCGAGGTAATACGTAAGCTTTCCCAAATCTGACATTTCGAATTTCTCTCCCATAGCTTGCTTGAACTTGGATATGATCATCAGGTTAGAACCAGTTACTACCAGATCATCGACGTATACACCAACTTTTAACAAGTCGGTATTGATAACCCTTCGGTAGACCGCTTGTTCTTTAACACACTTTTGAAACTTCATGTCACGTAGAATACCATCAAGCTTGGTATTCCATGCTCGTGGGGCCTGTCTCAGCCCATAAAGAGCCTTTGATAGTTTGTAAACCATGTTTGGTTTCTTAATAAACCCATCCGGCTGGCTTACAAAGACTTCCTCTTTTAAATCTCCATGTAAGAATGCTGACTTTACATCAAGATGATGCAACTCCCAACCCTTTGAAGCAGCAAGAGAGATAATTAGCCGAACCGTCTCTAGTCGGGCAACCGGGGCAAATACCTCGTCAAAGTCAACTCCAGGTTGTTGCACATAGCCTTTTGCCACGAGCCTTGCCTTGTACTTGTTTATAGACCCGTCAGCGTTCCTTTTAATTTTGTAAACCCATTTTAGCCCGATAGGTTTCACGCCGTCTGGTAGCTTGGTTAGGGTCCAAGTTTTATTCCTTTCTATAGACTCAAGCTCTTCTTTCATTGCTTTCATCCATTCCGGACTGGATTTAGCTTCAAGAAAATGGGTTGGTTCATCTTCATTGCATGATAACAGAAGCTCAACTTCTTCCTGTAAATTTAAAACATAGTCGTTGTATTTAGCCGGTGGTTGCTTTTGTCGGGTGGACCTCCTGATATGTGTCTTTGGCAAGCTTTCGGTTTCACCTGGATCATCCTGCGAGCTATTTGAAACTGATACTGTAATGGGTTTAGCAGCTGAAGTGTCTATAAGATTATTGGGCCCATTCGTGTCTCTCGACCCAGGTTGAACTCCATTCTCTTCTGCATCGGGCTGGTCCACATTGACTGGCCCATTTCCAGTTTCAATTGCTCTACTCCATTGTACCCAAAACATACCTGGGTCTCGATCATCATCGTTGGCCTTAGCCCAGTTCCATCTTGCCTTCTCGTCAAATACCACATCTCGAGACACACTTAGTCTTCGAGGATGAGGGTCAAATAACCGATATGCCTTGGTACCTGGTTCCGGCCCCAAATGAACTAACCTTCTTGATCGGTCATCCAGCTTCTTCATCCCGACTCCATCAACTTTTGCATAGGCCACACATCCGAACACCTTTAAGTGGCTGACATTCGGTGTTTGACCATGATAGCCCTCATACGGTGTCTTTCCTGATAACGCTTTTGTGGGAATCCGATTCAAAATATAGGTTGCATATCGGACCGCTTCCCCCCACAAATAGTTAGGTTGCCTTAAGTAAGCTTCGTGTCATTTCGAGTAGGGTACGATTCCGCCTCTCTACGACACCGTTCTGTTGTGGTGTGTATGGAGCGGTTAAGTGCCTAGCCATTCCACTTTCTTCGCTCAATGAGTTGAACTCACGTGAGGTGAACTCCCCACCCCTGTCTGTTCGAAATGTCTTTATCTTGGCAGATTCCTCATTCTCAACCAACTCCTTAAATACCTGGAAGGACCTTAAAGCATCTCCTTTTTCCCTCAGTAGGTAAGTCCACATAAACCGTGAGTGGTCACCTATCAAGACAAATATGTACCTGTTCCCAACAAGCGTCGAAGGTGTAATTGGCCCACACAAGTCTCCATGGACGAGCTCTAGAACTCTACTCGCTCGGTATTGTGTCGATTGTGGGAAGGGCCTCCTGGCGTGTTTCCCAACTAAACATGACTCGCACAGTTGCTTTACATGCTCAAGACGAGGTAACCCGATGGCTAACTCCTTTTGCGCCATCATCTTCAAGGTTTGGAAATTGATATGCCCTAACCTTGCGTGCCATAACCAACTGTCTTCTACAATTCGGTTATGTAGGCAAATCGGCTTCCCCACTTTCAACTTTGTTTTGTATAACCTGTTTGAGGATCTGTGGACTTTCATAAGCAGCCTCTTGTTTGTGTCGTATAGCAGTAAAGTATCTCCTTTCATATACACTTCACATCCAACTTCAGTTGCTTGACCAAGACTTATTATATTTGCTCTCAAGCTTGGTATATAATAAATGCCTGTCAAGAGTTTTTGCTCACCCTTGTCCCCTTCAAGCAAAATAGATCCTTTTCCACATATCTCAACACATGAATTATCTCCAAATCTTACCCTACCACCAACTCGTTTGTTGATTTCAGAAAAGTAGGAGAGATTTCCAGTCATATGGTTGCTAGCACCATTGTCTAGGTACCATATGTCCCCTTCAGTCGGGTACTGATTTGGTATCACTTTATCTTCATTCAAGAACACAGTTTCTTGAATGCTTCTCACCATGAAGAGTTGCTGGTCGTTTTCGTTTGCCTCGGTCAGATGTACCTCGCCTTGTTTTATCTTGCGTTGTGGGCAACTTGAGGCAAAGTGCCCATATTGATCACACCTGAAGCATTGTACTTTGGTGCGATCCTTGCCTTTTGCCTTCGGTTTTCCAGACTTCTCACCTCCTTCTTGCTGCTCGCGTGAATTTTGTTGGTCACGTGCATGGGTTCTACGTCCCAGATTTGATCCACGTCCACGACCACGGCCCGGTTTTCCCTGATCTCGACCCCTTGAGTTGGACTCAACCTTGTGGAGCATGAGTTTGCTTTGATCGACCTGTGGTTCCTCATCTCGAACCCGATCTTCATAAGCTTTCAACCGTCCCACCACATCTTCAAATCCCAGGGTTTTGAGATCCAAAACTTGTTCAATTGAGGCGACTATGTGGATAAACCGCCTTGGCAAGCTTGCAAGAAACTTCTTGACAAGTTTCTTTTCATCAAGAGTATCTCCAAGTGCTGCAGCCTTTGATGCGATCCCAGCTATTTTACTCGCGTGCTCATCAATGGTACACGAGTCCTTCATCTTTAGATTATCAAATTCTGCCATTAGAGTCTGCAACCGTGCTTCTCTTACTCGGTCTGCACCCAAGTGTCGAGCCTTAATTGCATTCCATATTTCTTTAGGAGTCTTCATTGAACCAACCTGCAAGATCAAATCCTCAGGGATTGATTCGAAGAGCAATGCTATCGCAACATTGTTTTTCTTGACGTCCTCCACACCTGGTTCGATGGCTTCCCATACCGAGTGGACTCTAAGAATAACACCCATGCGAATAGCCCAGACAGTGTAGTTTGTTGTCGTCAACATAGGACACTTGAAGGATGTGCTCATTCCTTCCTTTGTCGATGTTGCCGGCTGCTCCTTCTCTCCCATGGCTTTCCCCTTTTTGCAATCCTAGTCTCGATTGGAAATCAGGGATTACCCAAATAGAGGAGAACCTTCGCAGTATCCGAGTGGCGGCTAACTGCACGCGGATAATGGACTGTGGACTAACCCTTTGTCCGCTGCTGTTGTGTCCTTCAGCGACGATTGTGCGTGGACTCTTGCAGCGGCGAGATCTCTGCAGCGGAGGCGGTGGCGGGACCTGGGAGTCGACACGGCCTTCGCTCCTGCAGCTCTTTACTGCAATTCCGATCAAGACGGAAATAGACAGCTCAAAGCAGATCTTCACACCTGCACGATTTTTTCTTTCTAAGAGCTCCAATCGAAAACAGTAGCTTTTCCCCTTCTTTTTTATTTTTTATTTTTATTTGGCTCTGATACCAATTGTTGGAAACAATCTCTTTATTATAACTGGAAAATAACTCAAAACCAATTACAATAAACTCTCATATATTTCTCATATCATAACCCAAGCTTGGCTAAGATATATATAGAGCTAAATAAGCCTACAACCCATAATTCTATTCCTACTAGAACTAAAACATCTCGAGTTGGTACTCCTAATCCAACTACGTAATTAGCCTTCAGAGGTCCCATGCAGCAATACGAAAGACTTAATAATGATAGTGGGGAAAGATGGAAGAAGGGTATACATAAGAATTGGAAGGAGATAATTAGACAAGATTTCAAACTTATAAATTTTGTAATTAATTAGATAGGAACGTCTAGAAATTTATGACTATAGTAGCTTCTAGTTGGGTAGTCGGATAATTGTTCAGTTAGTGATAGTTTTTGCTATTGTCGTGCACATGCTTTCTATTTTTGAAGCATAGTTGCTAGTAGCACTTTATGTACTTTTTATTTCTTTATGCTTTTCTTTACTTTCATTTGTTCTTTGTTTTTGTGTCGCGATATACATACTCTCTATGCTTTTTGAATTGATGAATCTCCTGGAAATAACTTTTATATTTTCAAGTATAGAAAAAGTCTACATTCACACGTACATTCTTTGTAGACGACTATTTTCGTGATTAAATTGTACTAAAACAAAGTCTACATTCACATGTACATTCTTTCTAGACGACCACTAAAAAATGGCCATATTCTGTACTAACATAATTTTTCTTTGGATGTTGCCAAATTCACCTAGAAAATGGCCATATGCTTATATCCACCCTTTTCACATAAATTTGCTAAATCCACACCAATATCAACTTTATATTAATGAGTGTGGATTTAGCAAATATAGTTAAAAGCTAAGGTGTGTATATAGCCATCTTGCATTGGAGCTAGGTGGATTTAGCAACATCTGCCCTTTTCCTCTATGTATATGGTTATAGCTAAAGGTAAGGGTAATGTAATGTTTGATTACTTATAGCTTTTGTCAAGGACATAATTCGTGTCATAATAATTGTTTAATGTACGTACTCCATACAAACTTATTCTATTAATAATTAATTTAAACCATAGCTTTAAATTAAGTAGGATGTTTAATTATTTAGCATTGCTATTATTAATATTACTACTATTGTAATTTAGATTTTATTATGTTACCATACCAAATTATTAGCTCATTTGAAGTTTCTTTACGATTCTTTTTCTCGTTATTTTTTTTGAACCGTTGGGTTAGCGTTAAAGTTTTATTCTGTGCACCTGAGATTTTATTAGTTATTTTTATGCAAATTTAATTACATCCATTGCCCTTAATTGTTTCCACTTTTTTTTTGAGTTATTATAAGATTTATTTTCCACTTCCATCTAAAAAATACTACTCCCTCCGTCCCCCTAAGATGTTCTAATTTTGACTTTTGGTGGTTTTTAAGGAGAGTTAAAAAAAGGTGAAAGTTTACCATAATATCCTTAATGAAAAATGGGTGGAGTGTATTAAATGAGGTGGGTGAGGTGTAATAAATAAAGTAAGTGGGGGTAGTTGTGGTATTTTAATTGTAAAAAAATGAAATGAAAAGATCTATTGTAGAAAAAAAAAAGGCTATTGGAAAGATCTATGAGGGAGGAAGGAAATACTATGTAAACCGTACAAATCAACGATTCAACGTGATATGCCACCCCAGTTCTTGAAGAAGCTATGCCTTTTTCTTTCCGCCCATTCCTGTCTTCTAGAAGATGGAGGGATTGTGGACCCACATACACCAATGAAGTTTATTTTTATTTTGACTGGGCCAGCAAAAAAACACCCAAAAATAGTAATACTAAAGTCGCAAACACACATTTCACAAAATTCATACAATAATGCACTCAAATAATAAAAGAAATTTTAATTTAAAATCTACAAAAGGCAAATTTGTGAACTATTTGTTAGTAACTATAGCATTTCCCATACAAAAATATGAGTACTTTATTTACTCTTTATTAAGAGTACTCCCTTCGTCTCATAATGTGCAAAATTATGAGCATTTCGAATAACGCACAAAATTTCATCAAATTTAAAGTTATATTATTTACAAATTTGTATAATAATAAAAACTATATATTACAATGTTTAAAAATACATAAAAAATTCTATAAAACAAGAAGTAGTGATGATATGAATATTTTATTTTATCAAATTATTAATGAAAATATATACAAAAAGAAGTTAACGAAATGGTAGAATACCAACAATGACATCTATTTTGGGATGGATGAAGTGTTACCTTACTACCATCCTCCCAATATTGATTATCTTGTTATTATTCTGATACTTTCATCCTTTTGTTTATGTACATTTTTAATAGGTATTCCATGCTTAATAAAATTAAATATTTTTTCACTTCTAAGTTTGTAAAACTATTTATGTAATTTTTTAAATATAATAGTTATATTTTTTTTCTAAATTAAATTTTTAAATAGATTTAAAATAAGATTTTTTATGGGCAATTAATATTCATCAACTTCTTGGTATGTCTAAGAGGTGAACATCGGTCCAAAACCAGGCTGGAATCGAAAAAATCTAAAACTCAAAAACGGGCGAAGGGAACGTGAACTTATTTATTTATGTGAAATCTTGAATTTTTATTGAAAATTAGTTTAAAAATCAATCTCAAACATCCTCGTATAGTAACATCACAATTGCAATACAATCAAATCCACCCAAAAAGAAGGTGGAGAGTATTATTCTCTCCAAACATTCTAAACCAAAGTCTACATCATCAATACGCAAATTCAAGTTCGAATTAGTTTACGACAAATTGCCGACAAAATTTACCCAAAATTCAAAGTGTCAATCTTTTACCTATTGAACTGCTCCTCCTCCTGTTTCAAAATTATCTTTTTGTTTGAGATCGTGATTTTTTTTAATAAAAAATTTCGATCCTTCTCTAAAATCTTGTCTCGTTCACTTGGTATTTTGACATTTCTTTGTATGCTTTCATTAATCATTTGATAAATTAAATTTATTTTGAAAGACTTTTGATGTATTTTTAAACGATGTAATTTTTACTTTTTATTTTTATACCAATTTGTAAATAAAATAATTTTTAAGGTGATAACATTCCGCACATTATTCGGAGTGAGACAAAATTTTGGGACAAAGGGAGAGTTTGTGAGATTGTAATTTACATAGAAAAAAAGAGAAATAATTCTCCGTTCTTTTTTAACTGATTACTATAATGACAATTTTTAGATCCACTTCAAAAAATACATGTAATTTGAATAATGTTACGGAGTACGTATATTTTAACAATGATATTCAAATATCTAACATTGCGTTTAACAATAATATTCAAATAACATTACGTTCAAAATAAAGTTACGTTTTAACATGGAGTGAAAAACGACTTCTACCATCAATAAACTACATAAGGAGATGTATATGAAAATGTGAAATAGTTGATCTCGAGTTCTATAGGACCCCGATGGCATGTTATTACATTTAAATGGGTGTAAAAAGGCGATATCATACCCTGATAAGATTTGCCCCAAAAAAGTCTCTTTTTTTCTATCTGTCCCGAAAGAAAATTAAAATTTTCCTTTCATAGAAAAGAATGTGCCTTAATCATACACTTTCATTTTTAACATTTTTTTAAAACTCTATAAAAATAAGAGTTATTTACAGAACAGAGTATAAACTTGAAATTGGCAGTGCCCTGAGTTTTTATTGGTTAGTCCCATACTCAAAGAGCCTATCTATCACTATCTTGACCCAAGAAAAAACATTTGTATAATACCCTTCAACTCCATAAATCTCACTAATCCAACACAAGTCCTTAAGATGCTTCAAGACCATTTTTTAACTAATAAGTGTGTTAGATTGAGAAGTGAATATATCCCTACAAACATGGAAGAAATGAAGGGCTTATGATCAATAATGGATGCATAATACCAAAATAGGTCCATAAATATATGGAAGAATTTCCAAAGAAAAAAAAAAGTCTAAACGAAAATTATCATTATACAGAAATAAATTACATCGGTATTTGGTACACCCCCCAAAAAAATCAAGAATGACAAGTTTCCGTGACTTGAATCCCTCCGGTAGCCAGCGACGCAGATGTTAATCGTGTCAGACGCATGAATGGCTCTCCTGAGCCAATAATCTCTCCTTGTAGCTCTGGTGTATGGTCATGTAGGCAAATAATTCCCAGACTCTTTGTTTCATATATATAAATATGTCAATGAAGTTGGGTTTGTTTATTATTGTCTCTCTTAAGCTGAACCTTCAGTTTTTTACCACTTAATTGGTAGCCATTCATCCTGTTTATGGCAGCCTGTGCGGCCTCCGGGGAGTCATAACTGACAAATCCTGCAGGGGGGAGAGGAGAATTTAAAGGCGAAAGAGAAGAGACAGTTTTGTTTATGTTAATATTGAATTATTGAGTCAGAGGATCTTACCAAAACATTTGCTAATGCCAGTTGCCTTGTCTATGAAAACCTTGGCACTCAAGACCCTACCGAATGGTTGAAATGCATCTGCTAGCTCTTGATCACCAAATTCTTGAGGAATATGATAAATAAAAAGGTTGGCACCAGGTGGACCTGTCAAGAAGAAGGTTTCATGATTACGTTATTTTATACGACAAACCGTTCATCATTGGAAGTTCAAGCACGGAATGTCAAGATAGCAAGTACAGAAATGATACGCGAGTGTTACTAGCTTTCAATAGAAAGTACACCGTTTAAGCTCAAGCAGAAGAAGAATGTCAAGATAGCAAGTACAGAAATGATACGCGAGTGTTACTAGTTTTCAATAGAAAGTACACCGTTTAAGCTCAAGCAGAAGAAGAATGCCACGATAGCAAGTACAGAAGGGATCCATAACACCATAAGATATGTTTCAGACCAATAAGCTATAAGCAATATATTCTCATTAAATTTTACAGTTTTTTTCTCTTGTTCAGTCTTGGCTATTATATGACTTGTGATCAGTTAAGAACTTAAGCATAATACAAAAATGGTAGCGCAAATCAAACTTTTTTATATCATTCAATGGACGTTCTGAACCAATTCTTAAGACCTTGGTTGGTTGAGGGATTCATGGAAGGAAGGTGATATCTATTTTATCAATTTATTCTTATATGGTAGGAGAGAAAGTAGAGATGAAAATTATATAGATATACATTGTTTATCTAAAACATATACTGAGTAGTTATTTCCTAGTCTAAGACCAGCAAATAGATCTACATAAGTTAAAAATCAATCCCCAACCAAACAAGGCCTTAAAGCTAATTTCACTAGAGCCTAGCACTATTTTTTTGTATCATGCATTCCTCTTGGCTTCATACATCTTATGTGCCCTATGATAATACTCCCTCCGTCCCTGAGTGTTTGTCCACTTTCATTTTTGCACACCATCCAATGCACTTCTTTAATCCATTTTATCTTGTAATTTGTATATTAAAAAATTATAAAAATTATATATTAATAATCTATATGTTAAGACGAATCAAACAAGATCACACATGACTATTTTTAAGCTTACACATTGAGAGAATTTGATGAGTCAAAGTGCTTAGATGAATAGTTCCAAAAGTCAAAAGTGGACAAACACTCAGGGACGGACCAAGTAATAAGCATTGTAATTTATAAACATCTTTATCATGCTTAAAAAAGGAAGAACCACATCTCCTAAGGTCCCTTCAGACCGGTCTGGGTACATGGGAGGAGGTGAATTTAGTTATTATCTCAGTCTAACTGAGTGGATTTTTGTTTCTCACTGGCACCCAGTGCCAGCCAGTTGAGCTATGCTCACTGGTGTCTTTATCAAGCTGAAGTTATTACAAAAGGTATTTAGGTTAAGCAAACAGCTGTATCTTAATATTGATTAACATAATAGAAATGTGGGGAAAATTGTAAGAACCTTCAATTTGCCCTCCAGGTCCTGATTTGATGCTTGAAGATGCTGCAGACAGGCCGTTAGCCCGAATAGAATTACCAAAAGGTCTACTGCTCAGAATTCCTCCTGGATAAGTTACAGGATACTGAACACCTGGCACAGAGTAAGGAGATCTTATGTAACTCGCAGGTGGCATGGCATAGTTTTGAGGAGTCCGTCTGGGCGAAAGATCCGAAGGGGTGCCAGGTACTGCACTGCCTTGATTTGTAGGTGGAGCCATATTCTGGAAACCATGCTGATTCTGCATTGGTGGTAAACGATACTGCATCATTCCATATGCTCCATGACTCTGTAAAGAAAATTAAATTGAATGGTGAAACTATTCAAATCCAATTGTGAAACATATCTTCAAGTGGAGAGGACAATATAATGATTTAAACATGTGAGCTATTATGCATATATAAAGAAGAATGGGAAGTTAGCTACCTGGAAACCATATCCGTTGTACGTAGGGATATAACCCAGAGGTAAATTTTCGTATGGAGACAGATGCTGTCCAGATTCAGGTGCAGATGGTTGAAATAGAGCTTTTTGAGCCCTCCTAGCATGCCTTTCCTTTTCTGTATCAGCCCATTTGACTACTAAAGGGACCATTGAGCCCTGGTTTAGAATGATGGTAACCAAATTACAACCAGTAAATATAATACCTCCAAACAACAAAAATAAACTTGGCATGATAATGGTCCAATGAAACAAGGAGAATCCATGAGCACTAAGCATCATCATCACCATCATCGTCATCATCGACAACAACAACAACAACAAGAACCTACATACAATCACACCTATGTGGAGCATGATGGTCAAGATTTAAGCAAAGCCCAGGGCAGTTTTTGCATTCGTGCATTTATGGCCCAAAATTTTATAGAAAATAAGAAAGAAGGGAAGTGTAGCATGTCATTTTGATTTCATCCATGAGCACTAATCAATATAACCGGAATATATGAACTTAGGGTCCTTTCATTGGAAATAATGTTCATCCAATGCTCAGAGCCACCCGTGTCCTAACAAGCCCAATATAATGTACACCTTCTGTCCCAATATAAACTTCACCCGTTCCTTTTTACACGTCTTGCAATAAAATTCAATTTTCTTTTAAGAAAAGAATTGCGCTAACACAATTTCTGCAAGACAAGTCAAGTTTGCATTCTATACAAATCACATGCAAATTTTTCTTTTACTAATAAATAAACAGCCTTTAAAATGGTTCTTCTTTCAACAGAGAAGTAGCAGATAGTCAATGCAACATTTGATGCTCATCATGGGCCATCACGAAACAACCGCTCTGTGTTTTAAACATAGGATCACGCTGCGTACATTTGGCCCCCCTTACCCCGGAATCGGGTGGGAACCTTTGAGGCACTGGGGTAATGTTGTTGCCATTATTAATGAATAGTCTGCCAAAACATATATTTGATGTTGGCTGAATGATAAGCACTGAGTCTACTTAAAACTGGTAAGTGCATCTCAAACACAAATTATACAGACAAAATTCCAATCAAAACAGATTTTGGACACAAATTGCCTCTAAGGGAGCAGCAGATGACATATTTCTTCATCTTGCAAAGAAGACACTAATGTAGTAAAAGACAAAACTAATAAAGAAAAGACCAACCTCCATTTTATGTTTTCCATTGAGGGCATTTATGGCTGCAACAGCTTGTTCCTTTTGCTCATATTTCATAAAAGCACATCCTGCAACAACCAAGACATTTTAAATCCTATATGAAAGTGATAGATTTTATTGCATAGCATATGATCTTTGAGTTGAGAAAATGCACATGAGCTAACTTGGTGTACCTTTACTAGTTTGCTGAGACCCTCTAATAATTTGCAAATCTTTAATGGTTCCAAATTGTGAGAATAAGGCTAAGAGTTCAGCATCAGAGACATTCTTTGGTAGCATACCAACAAAAAGCTTGTGCTCTGTTGATTATGAAAATAAATCAAAAAAATGGAATAAGATAAATAAGGTACCCACATTCGTTGCACGATAAGCCTACAAACAAACTTTTGTATCTAAGATATTTTTAAAATTTTTCAAAAAAATGATACTTCCTCCGTCCCTTAAAAAGCTTCTACATTTCTTTTTTCATTTATATCAAAATGAGATTTCACTCTCCTTTTAAGAAAAACCATACAATTTCACCATTCTTAATAACAATGTCAGTTTCAAGGTGGCCCTTTTTGTGGGACGGAGGAAGCAAGTATCATCATATCACAATATGTAGGAAGAAAATGTATTTATAGCTACGATATTTAATTATACTACACCTAGTCTTTCCAACTCGCCATCTGCATACTTTACTTGCAATGGACTAGAAGCCTGGATTGGACATCAAAAAAGAATGTCTTAATTTCGGAAAGGAAAAGCACATAAGTCAAGTTATGGAAATCAAAGTCAGTTTCAATAATGGAAATGAAGGGATGATAGACGATAGATGATAGGCTGATAGCCAATTAGCAACAGCACACTTCCTGTGTCTCATTCCTCCCAAATCAAGTTGACCACTAGACACCTAAAGCAATGGTTCATTACTACATTCACAAAATTGTCAAATAACCCATTTTAGTTCAGAAATTCCACTACAAAATTGTAATGTTCCAACATAAACAGCAATAAATCAAAGCCCCAGCGGTTACAATGTTGCATTACCAACGGATGTTAAGAAAAAAAGCATTAATTCAACCTATGAAACAGGCATTAAATATAGCATTTGGTCCTTATCCACCCATACCACTCGTTAAGCACAATGCACATCGAAATAAATGAATCGCATTCAAGAAAAACCAACCCCAGGAAGCGTCTTCTTATTGTGGCACGCATTTACAGCCTTGTCGGCTTCTTCTCTGGACGGGCATATCAAGAAACAACACCCTGAAAACACCGGATTCCGGTTCCAGAACCAGCAAGACGCATTCAGAAGCTACAAATCTCAGCAAAAAGGTCAACAAAAAGCTCGAATCTCGCATTGAGATCGAGAACGCGTAAATTCAGAGTGGAGAGGGATAGCGAGAGTGAGACCTCGAGAAGCTCGCGTGGCCTTGTCCTTGATTATGTTGACTTCATCAACGACGGCGAACTCCTTGAACATTGAGAGCAGCTGCGCCTCAGTCATGTGCCTCGGCACTTGACCGACGAAGAGCTTGACGCTCTCCTCGCCGTGATTCCGCAGCCTCTGCGTCTGCTCCTCCGCCATGAATGCCGTCCGACTCGCACTCTCCCCGACTTCCCTCTTCTTCTCCGGCCGTTGACGGCGGCTCCGTTCCGATCTCACGCCGTGCTCCTCCTCTTTTCTCTCTCTCTCTCTCCGCGTTGAATCTTCTGCGTTCCGGTCGGGGCAATCTCGGGCGAATTTGGATCTTCGGGAATTTATTATCGGTGTTGACTTTTAAAAAAATGCCCCTTCTTTTCCACTTTATTTACAGTTTTACACGACTCTCCGGGTTGCATTTTATTGACACCCAATAATAAGACGAAATCACTGGTTAGGGTCGCGTTTGCCTGTTTCGGAAATTTGGAAGTTTTTCCTTTTCATACTCACTTTTTGGAATGTTTTTAAGTCAAAGTGATTTATTTCTCATATGAGGTTCATTTTATATAATTAAATTAACAGAAAAAAATGTATTCAAATTAAACTTAAATATTTCCTCTGGTCCTAAATATTCTTCGAGTTCTAACATTTTTTATCAAACAGTGACACTTTTTACTACAAATTGTGAGAAAAGTATATTGAATATTAATATTTGTTCCATATAGTCGAGTTAATCTTAGAATATAGGTTTGATCTATCAATTTTTTTTATTTAAATACTTTTTTGTCCCAATTTAAAACATCTCTAGTCATCTTCTTATTACTCTAAAGAAATATATCTGAATAGGAGTAAAAAAAGTTGAAGATACCAAAATATGAGTCTTATATCTTTTAAGACCAAAATATGAGTATAATGATAATGTAATGTAAGAATATGCATTGTCAGTGTGATGGAAAAGTGACGATAGTGTAATATGTCAGTGTGATTAGTTAACCGTCGACAATCTGCAGCGACATTCAGGTGGCCGGCGGCGACGAATGGCCGTGTGGTAGTGATAGTGTGACAGTGACAATGTGATAATGTGGTGAGGGTAGCAGTATAACAATGTCACTGTGATTAGTTACACTATCGGATGGCCTTCACTGTCATTTTAATGTCAAAATACCCAAAATAAAAATATTTTTTTCGAACTTTTAACGTAATTTTGAAATAAATAATTCCAAATTAAATTATCTGCTTACTATTCACATGGTCAAACATCTTTCACTTTCTTTCTATATTTTTGTTCGTCATTTGATAAAATAAAATAGTTTTATCGCTACTAGTTTTTTAAATTTGTTGATGTAGTTTTTAAATATGTAATTTTTATTTTTTAATTCTACATCATTTTTACTTAAAATGATTTAAAAATAACTCCAGTCAAATATCGAAAACCGAAACAGACAAATTTAATTAGGAGGGAAGGAGTACCTTCTATTTCGATAATGTAAATAAAATAATTTTAAAAAGATATTAAAGTTTAATTTTACGGGGTTTTTGTTGTACTCCGTAATCCGAATTTGATTTGAACGTTAGCAAAGGTCAAATATGCTTTCCCATTTACTTTAAATGGTATGAGGTCAAAAAAGTATGAGATAAATTATGTGCCCGCTGTTTTTTTAAATAATCCCTCCATCTCTCTAAAAAAAACTTTTTACTCTCTATAACACTTTGTTCCGAATAATATTTGACCAAAACTATTTTCATTCAATCTTTTTATGACAAAATCAATCTATTCAAAACGAAGTATTGTAGTGTAGAATTAGAATTATATACTCCATTTGTCCCACAACTAAAAATTTCCATTGCAAATAACAAAAATTGATAGATTTCATTTTCAAATAAATTCATTTATATAATACTGTAGTCCAATATTATAAAATAAAATATACTATACACTTAAGAACTGCCGAGTACATCAAGTGTTTTATAAAACTAGACATGACACGACTATTATTTTAATACGATACAAAGTGCTACGTTAATGCTCATGTTAAAGTATCACACATTAGAAATTGATGAGAAAATTAAACAATATATAAACTCTTGAATTTAATTAATTAAACTAAGTAATCGATTAAATTCAATCATCTAATATGATTCAGCTCAAGATTAGAAACCAACTCAGTGATCCTCACCACATCCTAAATTCTACTCTATTCGTCCCAAAAATTCCATCTCACTTCTTATTTTATTTGTCCCACAAAATCCTTCTAATTTCTATTAAAAAACTACTTTTACCCCTACAAATTGTAAACCTACATATCACATTATATCTTTTTACAAATAATCTACATATTAAATCCTACTTTTACTTATCACATCAAATGTATTTTTGAAAAGTCAACACAAAAATATTCATCCATTAAATTTCTTAAAAAGCAAAATAAGAACGAAGAAAGTGTGAGCACGAGGAATTGTGAGTATTAATTTTTGTCGTTGGCCAGGGGTAGTTAGCGTGGAGTAACATTTAATGGAACTAATGCAATTTAATCACATCAAGCGTGAACCAATGATTGGCATTTTTGTCTTTCTAATCAACTCTTAAAAGACCAATCCAACAATTTCTCCCATATTTCATCCAAAGAACTCGGTTAAGCCAATAAAAAAAACATAAATATTGGCAAACATTATTTGATTAATATTGGCAAACATTATCATAAATATTTTGAAAACTATGTAAAAACAATATTTTCAAATTTTAAATTTTTAATCGATAGCGATAAACAAAATATTAACCAATATTAGCATAAAAATGCACCGATACCAAACAGTTCATCCTTGGACCAACCACAATCTTTCATACATTGTATGAATTGATAAATGCGTAGTAGTAACAATTTTCAAATTCGTCCCAATACATTTGGAGAATAAATTTAGTGCTGCATTAAAATAACAACATGCATACAGACCTATTTTCATCTACAATCTTAGTAGCTATTATTGGGGAGATGGATGGAGGAACCTAAACGAAAAAATATGTACATTGCACGAAAATATGCTTCCAGAGGGGCGTAAAAAGGAATAAAATGAGCCCTGGGACCCTCTTCTGGAACCCCATTTTCGTGCAATGTGACCGGACTGACTTCATGGAAGTTTTTGTGTCTTTCTTTTTCAGAACTATATCCACCATTAACCAATTAGTGGACAAAAAACACTGCAAAAGAGTGGGGGACTGGGGGCGAAATAATATGGTCAGATAAGAGTAATTCTTACCTTCAGCAACTATCAACATGAAGCACCAAAAAATGCTAACGAATACGGAGTACTACGACAGGCATAGATTTAGGCCTTATATTGCCTTCAATCCTGCTAGATCGCGCAGCTTCTCACAAACTATAAAGGTGATCATCGTCTGGGGACCCAGCCTCGCAAATATCGCAAGGCCTCTGTCAACATAAAAATATTTCAATTTTTATGAGCAAACCAATTGAGGAAGGAAGAAATGTGCATCCTAAATGTGAATGTTAAAATACATGTCTAGTAGTAGTGCTTCAAAATAAGGTGTGTAATAAAGAGATTGATGCAAACGTGGTAGTCACCATTAAATATATGGTAAGAATGCCGGCTGCATTGGTATTGGACACATTTGCCATCAAAGGTTAAGGGCACCAATACGAACTTACCAAGAGTGGGGTATTAGGGAAATGGCAAGAAAAGGATAAGTATTGATGTGTGCCAATAGAAGAGTTATTTGTCTACTCACCCTTTGTAAAGACCCCGAGGACCTTCACTCAGCAGAACCTGAAATCAAAATTGCAGGAACATCAGCTCAAATCCGCAAGTTTTATGTCCTTGTCATCATCTCAATATATCAATAATGTCAACTGCTACTTCCTTCTCCATTGGTACACCTATCTTCCCTATTTATGTTTTCAGATTTTAATGGTATTTACTTGCTAAACAATGATCTCAGAAATAGTAACGATAGAAATAACAGTGGTATGCCATGCAATAAGATATTTGAGCTACCACCTGATATGCACAGTGAAGTCCACTTTTATAAGTTCCAGCACTCTTGGATTCTCGTTGCAACATAAGACGAGTTTTAACCATGTCCATGGGTGCCGTTATGAGGGTGCTTACAGCTCCTGCTAATGTACTGGAGCTTCACAACATGCAAATCTAGAGTTAGATGAAACTGTGAAACTAAAAACCATTATGCAGTATGGAATATAAATTTTGAGGAACATATTTTGTGCTAATTAGTTCCCCTAATTTCCGATGGTTTATGCACAAATGCACAATGTATATCCACGCTTGTAAAGTAGGAAAGTGAACCTACATGAGATGCAGATAAAATCCTTCCTCAAGAGAAGTCCACTTTAGTAACACCTGCATCAGCAAATGGAAAAAAGAATATGTGACTTTGTGAGCTTATAAACAAGGATAACTATAGAAATTCAATGGAACTTTAAAAGACTACCTAGAAGTTTACCTGTTTGGTTTCATCATATGTTGCCAATTGAGATGCAGTTAGAGCAGCAGCTCTGGCCATTGCAGGCCCAATCCCTTTCCAAAGAGCAGTGACCCCCTCTTCAGAAGCAATTTTCTGCAGCTCGTTAACGGCTCCTCTACGTGATTTCTTATTCATCTGTAAACGAACCTGGAGAAACATAGATGCGATGACAAAAACTTGACGAATGATATGATAAGGCCATTATCTACTGTTGAAAGATTACATTCTTGATTGATTGACTAATGGGACAAATTAGAAGACTAATTAATCTTGATTGATTTAGCACATCTAAGTTAAATATTCTGATAGCTTTAGCATATCTACTTCAAATATATTCTTTTCAACTTTTCAGGAGATCTGTAGTTTTTTAGTTCCCTTTAAATTTAGATGTTGTAACCATCATGAAGTATACATAAATACGTAAGAAAGAAATTCTCTTATATTTTCTATTCTGCACTCTGTACCTTTAGAACCTCCATTGGATTAGTTAGTGCCGTGGCAATAGCACCAGAGAAAGCTCCAGATGCAATCTTCACTGCAAGGTTGTTAGATTCAAAAGCCATTCCACAAACATATTTTGATGGTTCATATAAGCTCAAACGGAGGCCGCCATAAACAATTGACCTCATCATTGCAGGTGACAGTCCCCGATACAAGGATCTGAACCCTTCCTCTCTTACCACATGAGCATAAAGTTTTCCCTATTTTAAACGGCAGCTGCTAACTTATACCTTGGACCTCAGAAACAAGAGGAAAGTACAATAAAATAATGTATACCATTCCAGTCAAAGGACCTCTCTGCCCAACAAGCTGCATTTGTAATCTCACTTTGAGAACATCTGTATACAAAATAAGACAAATCATACACACGTATGAAATGTGTGTGTGCGCATACACACACCAAATAATGCTGATATATCCCACTCAGGAGTACAGTCCCGGGATTTAAGATCTATGCAGACCTTAAATAGTTACATCTACCTCAATGAGTAGAGAAATCGTTTCTAAGAGGACCCCACCACACAGTGAAAAAATGTGGGAAAACAAAAACCAAGGCCTTTTGTGCCTCAGTGTGTCTTGTGCTTTAACCAACTTTGCTACAACCTTTATACCACGTCTCAAGGAATTCATATCCAAGATCATGTCCTCAACTACCCATCTCACATCCCCTTTGGGCTGCCTCTCCACGACAAACATTTTCAAACAACTGCAGTCTGGCTCTGGCCTCTCTTATTTTACCAAACATAAGCGTGATTCATAACTTAGTGGGTTCACAAATGACAAGTTTGGGCATTTAATGACTCTTCTGTTTGTGACTTTAACATTTCTCCATTTGGAATCTTATCCAACAAGATATGGCAACAAACTCACTGCAATTTAGGATGGAGAGTTTGGAGAGTCTATAGCTTACACTCCAATTTTGGGTGTTAATATTTCAATGGTTAAGAGTGGTTAGGGTGGGTAAGTGTTACTCCCACAAACTCTCCTTCACTCTTCATAAAAAGACAGATTTTTCTATTCTAACATGTCATTCACGTGCTTCGGGCCTAGCACGTGAAACCAACATGTGGCGGTGAGTTTCAAACTTGTGATCTATTGGTCAAATTTTGAGGTTGTAGCTTTTATATTTTAAGAAAAGCTTAAATTACAGAAGAGAAATGAAAATCCAAGTCCAGAAATTAGACCTAGAGGGTGAGTTACACCAGTTGCAGCGGCAACGGCGAGCCCGCTGGTACCGAAGCGGTAGGAAGCATCTGAGGCTGAAAGGCTCCATTTCTGCCTCTGCTTTACTTCCGCCCCTCCTGAATGAACACGATAACTGCAATCAGATTACGCGCACAACAAAATAAATTTCAGGGATATTAGCAATCCAGATAACCGGAAAGCGAAGTCTTACCGGATGTAGAGTCGCCACCCATAGCTGATTCGACGCAGCGGCGGCGGCGGCGGAGGTTATGCGGCCGGTTGCCTCCAGTCTTCCGGTTTCCAAATGGAAAAGCTGCCTCAACCGTCGAACGGACAACAGATCAAAAATAACTCTGATCAGCAACCGATGCCTGAGGCCATCGAGCGCTTGGAGCCTTGGAGGAGGCCGAACCCAACGCCCGCAAGACTGGCAAGATCTTCCTCGCTCGCACGTCGTCGTTTTGGTAAAGAACAATCAGACTTTGAACTTGTTTGAACATATCAACTTGATTTGGTATCATTTCTATTAAATTTTAAAACTTACGGAGTATATCATATCAAAACCTTCAGAAACTCAAGTGACGAATTCTTAATAAGTCATTGTAAAACCATCTAATTTTGAGTGATGATATAATCATAAAAAATTTACGTGACGAATTCCTAATAAGTCATTATAAAGCCATCTAATTTTGAGTAATGATATAATCATAAAAAAACTTGTGCATAATACTCTTCTCTTGTTTTGTTAATTCCATCTGTACCACGACTCTACACGAGGAGATTCTACAACTGAATGAATGTTATGATTATGATATGTTATGTGATTACAGTTGATATAATTGATAGAAATAGTAAATATGAATGGCTAAAACTTATCCATAAAAGAAAAAGTAAATGTAAAATCTATATATGCAAGAGTATATATGGAATACTAGGTTTGATTTCTAAGATATATTCCTCATTTTTTGAGATGTCTCTAAATAAAATTGCCACTTCTTTTTAACTTTTCTACTTGATGAAAGAAGTATACAACTCCCGTTATTCTTCTTTCTTCTAAACAAATTTCAATAACACTTTTATTTTTATACACTTATCTAATGCTCAAGGAGGTAAAAAGGTAACTTTAATTTTGGGGGAGAGTGTTAATTGAGTGATCCTTGTGACACTTGAGAAATTCCCACCAAATCAACCAAATTTCCATATTCTGTCTAGGGAGTATGTATTTACTACTCCATATCAACAATATTCCTGAAATAAATAATAAACCAGTCTTATGGCATTTCAAGATGAAGCCAAATCTGATGCAACTACACATATTACAAATGTAACAGTTCCCCATACAGTGGCTAATAAAATACTAAAAGCTCTGAGATAAGCTACAAATTTCCACATACTTAAAAACACATATGTCTTCAAATAGCCACTTACCCTTCCAGTTGATTTCAACCTCTTGAGAACTGCACCTCAAAGATACACCGATTTGCTTCACAACAGTAACTTTAGATCACTTGCCTATGTGATTCAGGCCCGTCCCTTGTAAATAGTTACCGTATGGTGAGTGCAGATTCTCTCTTTCCGTTACTCTTCCAGAGTAGTTAGCCTCGGTCACAGAAGAATCTGTAGCCATGAGAGAATAAGGTTCCATGGGATCTGGCAGTGCCCTTGGCAAGGGTAGGTACCGATTGACAAGTGATGTGGTGCTGTCGTTGTAGGGATTACATCTGTAGGAGGCAGCATAGTCTTGTGCCCCAATATTGGGGGTGGAAGTCATTGGGGAACCATTCATTCCTATAGAAGGATGCTGTACTTTAGTGGCGAGTTCCTGATAACCCTTGAGCCCATATACTTGAGCAGGCACTTGGACAGGTTCGGGAAAAGAAGATTTTGATGTTGGGTGTAACCAGGGCATGGGCCTAAACAGTTTCGTCAACTGCTTTACCTGTTGGAAATAGACAACTTTCAGGGAAACGTTAAAATTATGTGCCCATTAGGTGGGAATTCCACTCTGCTGGCTGAATTGGCAGCCCACCGGTCCTTGAGGCTGGTGGGCTCAACTGAAAAAAATATTTGAATTTTGTGGGATGGAAATGGCCGACATTAATAAAAATGATATTTCAACCATCACTTTAGATTTGTTTTTCTTTAATTTATATATAAAGAAATTAATAGGGAGTACGGAGTAATATTTAAGATAATCCAGCATATCAGTCATTTAAGCCACAATTTTGGCAACTTCTAAAACAAAGTTTCTCTGCAAGGGTAATATATTTCATACTTGTGAAACTGACAACTCAGTCTTGAACTTGCGTGTCCTCTCGTCATAATTTTCCTTTATTGCTTTTTTAAACACGTTTTCAGGTAGGGGGATGCAATCCTCCTTAACTACGAATCTGACCTGTTTGAGTTGTCAACCATCGAACAAACATAATTAGAAAGAAATCACGAGAAGTCAATAAGAAAAAAAATGTTGACCTGGCCGGGAAATGCTCCACCAAAGGCTTCTGGTTCAAGTTTCATGCCACCCTCAGATGATGCTTCAAATACTCCATACAACAGCCTAAGGTCAAAATCGTAGAGGAATAGCGTGAGGCCTGGCTTGATGTTCATCACAACTTCTTGCTTGTTCCTTGGAACACCCATTACATGGTAGTGGAAACAATCAGGTTTAGTTTTTGTGTTACACATAAAAATCATCCCTCCACATTCATTGCTCTCAAGGGACTGTGTATCTTTTTTCTTCAACTCCTTGCTCTTTTCATTTGCATGCTGCTCAGATTTGTTCCCATGTTGAGCGTTTAGATGCTTGTTTGGTATTTCACTTCCACCGCTAGTCTGATCTCCATCTTTGATCCACCAGTCTACAAAATCTTTTTTGCCTTCAACTTTTGTTGTTCCACCATGGTCTGCAGGTGACCCTTGGTCCCTTTTCTTCTGCTCTGTACTCTTTTCATCTGTGTTCTTCTCCTCAGTAGACAGTAGGTCCCCTTTCTTCAACTCTTTACTCTTTTCATCTGTGAGCTGCTCAGACTTGTCACCATGCTGAGTTTTCGAACGCTTTTTAGGTCTTTGACTTCCACCACTAGGCGGATTTCGACATTTGAACCACTCCTCTATATCATCATGGTTTGAAGGTGGCGGTGGGTCCTTTTTCTTCAACTTCTTACTTCTTTCATCCGTGTTCTTCTCACAGGACTTTAGGACCCATTTTTTCAACTCTTCATTTTTTACATCTACATGCTGCTCATTGGGATCATCAGCTTTAGGGACACTTATATTTTTGCTATCTTTGATCCCATTAGCCACCTCCTCCTTTCTGTCTTTAACTTGTGAACTGGTTTCGACTCCTTGCCTCAGGGCAGACTTATTGGACAGTGACTTTTTTAGGATTTTTCCTTTCGCCGCCAAACAATTAGGCATTTTTTCATGCAAGTTTGTTGGGGATGAATCCGCAGCACTCTTCTTCTTTACTTTATTACGGGCCACGGTCTTCATTCCCTGTAAGCAGCAATAGTTACAATTCAAAAACAAACAGCATGAACCAAACTATAAAAAAGCAGTAAAACTCTCATGGCCTTGACATTATTCGGCAAGATAAGACTACATGTTAGAAATAAACACACATGTATTAGTGAAAAACTTTTCTGTATTTTACAAAAATATCCAATGAAATTAAAAAAAACTATCTATATGCACTGTTGAAAAAAAACAAAACTTTTTCATAGGCAACAAAAAAAATAAGACCACAATGCAACACACTTTGTCACTAAATCATCTTCACAGTTTCCTTCCTTTTCTGTTCTCAAAATTATAAACCATCCCTTATAACATCTAAGAAAAGCAATAAGTGTTTCAAAACTACAAATTACTTCTCCACATTCTAAATGAACTTAAAGACAACATCTTTATGCAATATATTCTCAAAATATTTCAACAACAAATTGTCATGCCACAGTCACAAATTTCAAACTGTTTTAAAAACCCAACCACATATATTCTAAGAAGCATATACACAGCCAAATCGATTTCCAGATAAAAGTATGAAAAATCACAAAAATTGAAAATATAACAAAGCGAGCTAGTAATATGAAGCACGAAAATTAGCATAGAATTGAAAAATATGAAACGTGAAACTAAGATCTGTATAAACAGCTAACTGTGCTCAATTTCTGGAATTTCGGTCATCTAAAAACTTATGAACGATATATGAACAGCTGATCGTGCTCAATCTCTGGATAATTGAAACAAAAGACGAGTTTTTTGCCGAGATGATGAAGATTTGTAGCGTACAGAAAATAGAGATACCTGAGGATGTATGTATACTCCGTAATACGGAAGAAGACGAAGAAGAAGGAGCGTCGAGAGAGAAGATCGAACTGTGAACTCATGGGATGGAGTAAAAGAAACCATCAGTTTGGGCTTTGATCCAAATATAGCAATATAGAGTTAGACCCAGCAACGTAATCGGCCCAATTTCGTGGAAATTTTAGTACCGGGTATCAATTCATTAGGGGCGGGCAAAAAAAACGAACTAGTATGGTACTATACCTGATCATATTGGTATCAAATCATTTATAGAGTTTCTAAAAGAGATTATTTTTTTTCATACATTATAAAAGAGCAGTCTTTTTGGTGAATTCATAAAAGAAATGGGGTTCTACATCTTTTTGGTCGAATTTTAATTAATATGAACAAACTTGATATCAAGCGAGAAGAAGATGTAAAAAGTTGCGAAAATGAAAAGGTTTTAAAAAATAATGGAAGATAAGGGTAACGATTATGCTTACTGAGCCTGCGTGAATATGTTGGGAGAGAATATGCTTAGGCGATTTTGGTATTTTAAAATAGAAAATAACTCATATTTTTAAACTTGTCACTCAGGAGTAAGAGATAAACCTAAGTAACACTCATTATGTTTCTTTTTGGGGTAAAGTGAATACGTAAAACAAAAGAGGAATGTGGAACTAACGGTATAAATAAATGAATTAATAAGTATTTATGTAAAATCTGTAATTTTTAAGAGGATTCTTGTGATTTTTGCATATAATATATTGAATATTGTATTTTAAAGTTAAAATATATTTAAAATATAAAAAACTATTTTAAAATTGATTTACAATCTTAGTTGAAGTTAATTATTAAAAAATGAATCTAGTAAGTTGATGAATTGACATATGCACCCCTCCAATTATAGTAAGAAAAACATGAAATTAAAAAAAATTTGATGTGGCCTTCATGTGGAGGAGAAAGATGATATGGTAAAAAATTATAAAAGTTGTGCATACCTCTATCCTAATAGAAATACTCAATCCGTCCAGAAATAGATTACAATCTTGTTTTCTTTCTCCTCTCGATAAAATTTATGTGTTTTCATTGAGTGTTTGATAAAGTAAAGTATTATTCTCACCTTTCGTTTTATAAAATTTTTGATTTAATTTTTAATATGCAATTTCTATTTTTTATTGATGTATCAATTTATAAATATAATGATTCCAAAAGATAAGAAATTTTGCCTCATACTATCAATTTGTAATTAAATTAAGAATGTAAATTTGTAATTAAATTAAGAACGTAAGGAGTAGATGTTAAACTACATGGAGTAATAAAGTTAGTAGTACCAAAAAAGGAGTGCTTTTATGTTGCATTTTGGATGCATATTATTTTTATGCTCTCACATTAAATTTTTTTTTATTTTTTTATTAAAAAATAATTGCAATGCATAGTAGCTACACATTTTGTGTGGAGGGCTTATAGTGGGTTTGGGGTGGGGGTGTAGGGGCAGAAGTAAGATTGGGGGTTTAGAGGGTGGGTTAGGGAATATAGGAACTATCAATTTTATGAACGAAGCACTGGAAAACTCCAAATTGACAGTGTTACTAGAACCCCATCATTAACAATATTCACTATTTCACTCGGGGAAGAGACTTAATTAAAATTTAATTAATCTCCACTTTACCCAAAAGTTAGTTTCACTCACTTTCACCCATTTACAGATCTATTCAACTGCAGGCTCGAAGAAAGATCATTCCCATGGCCCTTTTTCAGCCTTCTTGATCAATTCTCACCTGATACTCCATTACAGTCTTTCAAAGCCTGCAACTTTATGTGAGTCTTTAATTGATCATCAATCTTGACCTGTTCCTGCAGTCTGGGTGTTCTTTGGTCGGCTGTGAATATGCCTCTCAGGAAAGGGTTTGATGTGAGGTCGCAGAGGACTATTAGGGTGGAGATCGATGGTTTGAAGCAGAGCTGTTGGGCTAATATGCCACCTGAGCTGTTGAGGGATGTCCTAAAGAGGCTTGAGTCTTCTGAATCGAATTGGCCTTCCAGGAGCAGTGTGGTTTCTTGTGCTGGGGTTTGCAGGAGCTGGAGAGAAATCATGAAAGAAATTGTAAAACCACCTGAAATTTGTGGTAAATTGACATTCCCAATCTCTCTGAAACAGGTCTGATTCCAACTCTTTGTATGTAAAGATGCAATTTTTTTTATGCATAAAAAGACTTTCTATTTTATATGACCCTTTGGTATTCTTGTATTGTACTTTTGGACATTATTTGTGGATGTTTTTTTCCAAATTTTTTTGAACTCCAGATGTAATAGCTCTGTTTGGGCTGTCCCTTTGTTATTCTTGGATTGTACTTTTGGACATTTTTTTGGATGTTTTTAAGGAACTGGTAAAGTCCAAATCTTTGTATATTTAAAAATGTAAATCTGTTTTTTACTAGAGATCCACTCATCTACCCATTGGCATGTGTTATTAATGTATTGTACTTTTGGACAATTCCATGGTGTTTTTTCTAAAACTGAGAAAGGGAATAGCCACTGTACAAACTTACCCTTATTCCACAAAACTATATCCCCTTTGGGTAATGTAATAAACTCCAGGTATGGAAAGTTCCCTTAAGAGACTAAAGTTATCTTAGGTGGTTGAATGAATGTTGCTAGGAATAGCGAATTTCATTTATAACTTTTGTCTTGCCGTATGAAAATATTTTTATGTGTTTTGTATGCCTACAGTAACTTGGCATGGCTATATGTTGGGAGCAACTATTGAAATCCAGACCAAGATTGGAACTTTCCTTGATAGAATAACAAGAAACGAGCTGAAGAGTTACAGTTGATGTTGCATTTGTTCAAGAAAACATTGCATTATTAAAAAAAATTGAAATGAAATTGTAACATACCCTTCAATTTGATATGAGGCGGCATACCCTTTTCTCCACCTTTGTTTTTTTGAATGAGTTTAGAGTGTTGAATAATTTTACACACTTTACTTAAGACTACATATCATGTGTTTCTGTGAAGGGTCTCTTAGAAACAGCCTCTTTACTTCCGAGTAGGGGTAAGGTATGCGTACACACACCCTCCCTATACCCTACTATCTTGTTGGATATTACTAGGGTTCTTTTAATTAAGACTAATTTTTAAGGTCATCCACACCAAGTAGTTTGAATTAAGGCATCAATGGTGATGATGATGATGAAATTGATGATGATGATGATTACATTAATACATTAACGAAGATTTTTGTATGGTTTCTTGCAGCCAGGCCCAAGGGATACTTTCTGCCAATGTTTCATAAAGCGTAATCGCAATTCCCAAAAATATCATCTTTATCTAAATTTTAGTCAAGGTTAGTTTTCCGTTGCAAGCCATACGTTTAAAAAAAAGATTTCATTCATATTGTATCTTATAGTAAAAAAAAAAGCATATGTAATAGAGTGAATTGGTACTAACTGGAATACTATCTTTTTTTCCCCAGCTTCTAATGATGATGGTAAGTTCCTTCTTGTTGCTCAAAAGTGTAGACGCGCAACATGTACAGATTATGTCATTTCTTTGAACTCTGAAAATGTCTCAAAAGGTAGGCGCACCTACATTGGGAAGCTAAGGTGAGATTTTGGAACTCCATGAGGTTTTGCTTTGTGTCGTTCACCACTCTCCTTGGTTACCGTTGAGTATATAGTCTCACATCGAATATAAGAATATAAATTACTTCTCCCATTGCAAATTGATTTTGGGTTGGAATCTCATACTTCTACAATGACAAACGCTCTTTGTTCTTCTTCTCTATGCAGATCTAACTTTTTGGGGACTAAGTTTGTAATTTATGACGCACAACCGCCTTCTGGACCCACGTTCACTAAATGTCGTTCTTCAAGGTCGGTGGGACCCAACCAAGTCTCTCCAAATATACCTTCGGGAAACTATCCGGTAGCTCACATTTCATATGAATCGAATGCCTTGGGTTCTAGGTAAGTTAAGGGTCCTCTGTCATGGGAAATTTTAGAATATATTGTTTATTTCTTATATGTTTTATACTCTATTTGTCCCAAAAAACATCACACATTTCCCCTTTTTTTGTGGGATTTTACTAGCCTTTTATTGTTGTTAATTTCACTTTATTTTGTTGAGGAAAGAGGACCAAGAAGGATGCAATGTATAATGGATGCAATCCCCGCATCATCGATTCAACCGGGAGGTGCGGCCCCCACGCAAACCGAATTCCTTCCCGCCAACATACCCATATTCCCTTCTTTTCCACTCTTCCGTTCGAAATCCATCCGTAAAGACAATTCGCGATCCGAAACCGTAACCGTTCAGAAAGAGAGCGCCTTAACAATGATAAACAAGGCTCCCGGGTGGCACGAGCAACTTCAGTGCTGGTGTCTGAACTTCAACGGGCGGGTAACGGTTGCTTCGATTAAAAACTTCCAACTGATCTCTTCTGTCATGGAAGTTAATGATAGAGTTGCACCGGAGCGCGATGATGTGATTCTTCAGTTTGGGAAGGTTGGAAAAGATGTTTATACAATGGATTACCAGTATCCCATATCTGCATTCCAGGCTTTTGCTATTTGCCTCAGCAGTTTTGACACCAAGATTGCTTGTGAATGATCAACCAGGTAATATTTGTTTAGATTCATTCCCTCTAACTCGATTTAGTTGTCCACTTTTCAAATTCACATATTAGAGCCCGTTTGGTGAGCGCATGCGATATGAGTTCTGAATCCTAATATACTTGCATGAATGTTTGATATCTGATATCACAAATACTCCGAAATGGGGTAGTTTTGATATCCCGAATTTGTGAGATATCAGTATGGGATTTTTGATAATTTATATTGATAAAGGTTCTTGTTAAGTCCATCTTATTTATCGAAATTGGCAGGTGAGCCGCAAGATGCCTCAACAGGACACGCATGATGTCCGGGTTCGTGTTGTTTGCGATGCCGTGGCACACTTTTATTTGCTCATTTTCCAGTTTTCATATAGTACGTTGTACGGTTACGTTTTACAGCATTATGGTTTCCGAATGTCTTGGGAAACCCATTACACACACATTCATATAGGTTATGTTCTTGGTACAATTCTTCTTGTCTTGCCAGAATCTTTGGTTCTGTAATTTCATGTTGTGTAAGATGATTTAATCAAGACTGAACTTAATTGGAGTTTATAGAGTTCAGATATAATTTTAATTGTAACTAAGTTCTGGTAATTGGCTTGAGAGCTTTAGTTGAACAGAGGGTCTCAGTTTTTTTACAAAAGAATGGAATTGCACTTGCATTTCATTTTTAGATATTATTTTCTTTAATTTATTGATGAGAGAAATAGGCTTAATGTATTTAATTGACAAAAAAAAAATAAAATTCATGCCATTAATGCCAAAGTGTCCCCAAAGGCGGTGCTTTTTCTGGGCTAGTTTTCCCTTATTACAAATTTACAATGGTGGCATACTTTTATACAGTAAAAACACATTTATAATCTACCACTACCCCTATAGGCAACAATACAAAACACACATGACCAAGGTTCTTTTTGACACCAAAAGCCGGCGTCATATTATAACACCGGTCCATTTGAGGGCCCTACATTGCTCTGTTCAATCTTGAAATAATTTCTGTCCCTAACCCTCCAATCCCCCGCCCGGCTTCACCATTATGCAATAGTGACAAATGTAGTATAATGAAGAACCCGAGGGTAAGGGCGAGCTTGGGAATTCAGGGAGGGTTGAAGGAGTAGGAACCATTTCGAGGTCGAACAGAACACCGTAGGGCCATCAAATGGACTGGATGCCATACTATGCCACTAAACATACATTCAACAATACATACAACAAATCCTTGGAACTAATCTTTGTTTACATCTAATACAAGTCTCCAAATGCATTCACTTCTTCTGGTTACACACTTTTACCAGGTTATGATACACATAAACAGCACCTGCTTTAAAGTCCCGGTGCACTCCTTGGCTTGTTGATATACTCGCGATTACATTTTTTGACAAAAAGAACCCCTTTTCACATACCAATCTACAACAACAACAACAACAAACTAAGTAAAATCCAACATAAAGTAGGGAATGAGGAGGGTGTGTATGTAGGCCTTACCACTACTCAGGAGTAGAGAGATTGTTTCAACAGATCAATCTCTCTTGGCAAAACGCCCTTTAATTCTTATCCTACTCTCGGCCCGTGCCTTTCTAGACTCGTACCTTATTTTCTTCTCGTATCTTTTATCGTAACATATGCATGAAAAGCATAGGCAAAAAAAAAAGAAAACTTTAAAATCATGACCGCAATACGAATCTTCTGCAATGGAGTTGCAACAATGAGCTAATACAACAACAAAAACCAACCCATTAGAACCCCACAAGGGACTAGGGTGTAACTGTCTGAGTAGGATTTGGGGAGGGTGTGTGTTACGCTAAGCAGACCTTACCCCTACTTGGAAATAGAGAGGCTGTTTCTAACAATGAGCTAATCACCATTAATATATATATATATATATATATATATATATATAGAGAGAGAGAGAGAGAGAGAGAGAGAGATGTGCTTACGTCCTTGTTTTCTTCTTCTCCTTGTACCGGGAAATTGCGCTCTCTCTATCCCGGGTGTTTATCTCACGAGGAACAGATCTGGGAATCGCTTGGAAAGTTTCAGTGTTGCTAGAATGGTTTGCTTGCCCTTCATCGCGACTACTTGCTTCCCCAGAACCAATGCCAACAACACTTGAATCTTTCTCTGGCATTGAACATTTTTTCTCATCAATTCCATGTAGTAGGGCAAGAGCAAACCCTTGATCACCGACACCATCAGACCACTGAAAGTCACCTGTCTGCGGGCAGAGAAAACAATTACACACACCAATAAAAAACAAAAAGATTGGATCTTTTGATTGTAGGGTTAGCAAAAAGCTTACTTCGGAGTAAGGCACTAATGCAGACTCCATGTTCTGTTCAAACCCACATTCGCTTTCTCCAAAAAGACCATTCAGTTCATTTTCTATACTTTGAAACCCATCACCGGCGGGTTCATGTTCCTCTTCGTCACCACAGAGGTTAGGTTCCAGTTTAGACATTTCCCGTAGCTGGGAAAGTATTTCCTCTTTGTGTTGTCCACAAGCAGCATTTCTGTTCTGCTTTTAGTAACAGTACATATATAAAAACACCATAGAATGTTACGATCAAGATTGTTGTCACTTAAAAATTAATTAGTCATACACATGGACACACGGAAAAAGCTACTTTAACCACGGGATGACACCACCAAGGACGTTCACGCACATATAGCAATTGTCAATATGAAGTCATTGGTAACGGTGTCAACCTTGGTGTCATTCATGGTGTGATTGTAGCATGGTCAAATCACAATACCTAAAACTAAAGAAAATAACCTATGGTATCAAATACGGAGTAGCAACCTTAGTGTCAAACTTGGTGGGTTTTTAGCATTTTTTTGAAAACTAAAGAAACATCCACACATGAATACTCATTTTCAAGTAAATGATATTTTCTAAAATTCATTTATGTTCGAAAGTTAGTATTCAATGATGCAAAAACTAGTATTCTATTACTCAAACATGAGTACTCAGTTACTCGAAAATGAGTATTCATGTGGATGTACGGGAAACACCGAACATCCGGATGTATGTTATAGGCAATCATGAATCACTAATGTGAGATTCATAACAGAGGAGGCAAAATCACAGTTCTGAATCCTTGGAACGATCAAGGATTAAGAGTAATTATGTGGAGCATAAAGAACAGACCTTTGGAAGAGGGGGAACACCCATGGCCTGAAAATTAGGGTTAGAATCATCAACAGGGGCTACTATAAAATCGTCCAGATTGACGACAGCAGGAGAGTCCCAAACCAGATAATCTGAAATCCCGTCGTCTCCGCTGCCATCATCGCCGTCCGGAGAAAGTAGGTCTTTTTTTCCGACATCTTGGAACCCTAAAACGGCGAGCAATTCAGCGACGGAAGGGCACCCGCTGAAGCCCTCGAGGGGGCGGCGGACGTGGGCGGGGGAGAGGCTGAGCGAGTGAAACTCCCAGTCGCAGTTCTGACAGAAGACGGAGGAGTGGGTGCAGCAGAAGATGGTGGCCGGGGAGGAATCGCATGCGTCGCAGAGCAGGGATCGGGAGTGCTTGGTGAAGAGCGGGTTCGTGGAGTGGACCTCCCGGTCGCAGCCGAGGCAGAGCTTGGCCGAATCGGGCCGGCAGTACAGCACCGCCGTCTCCGAACCGCAGAAATCGCACAGCCGGCCGTGCTCTCCCCCTTCTGGCCCTTCTTTCAGTTCAGTCATTTTTACCCGGAACTTTTCTCTTTTTTTTTTCTCAGACTTGAAATTGACAGAATTCGTGGAAGGATATGGCGGAAATGGAGTTATCCGATCATGAATTCGTTGAAGAACAGCTGCAGTTGGGGAGGGGTCGTCTGGTCTCAGTCTGGAGTGAGTGGAGAGGTAGAGAAGTAAAGACGGTAGAGGTAGGTGGAAGGGAAAGTTGGGGAAAATGGAATAGTCCGTGAGCTGGAAAATTAAACATTTTTCTTTCCATTTATATTCTCTTGTTTAAATATACCTTTTTTTACCGTTTAAAAATACTTTTAATTGAGCCCAAAAATTCTGAATTGGAAGCTGATTTCAATTTAAAAAAATTCTAATAATTATTTGACAATTGTCAAAAAACAAATTCGAATCTATCTTTTGGAAACTTATTTAAGTTCGAGTTCAATAAGTTGACTTTGTTTGTGACGTCAAATTTAACACTAATGACATATTTTGGACACATTTCAAGTGTGATATGTATAAAAATATTGATGTACCCAAACATGCCTCTACATTTTTTTAAATCTTGATTAAGTGTCGGTAGTTGTTACGCAGTTGGTAAAAACAGACTTGAGTTAGATTCCTTGCAACTACGTTGGAAGGCAACTATGCTCAGCATATGGCTTCTGTAAATACTAGGTACAGACTCCACTTTCTGCCTCCAATATACGAATAAGATCCAATTTACCTTCTCTTAAGTTATATTCTCTTATTTAAATATACCTTTTTTTACTGTTTAAAAACTAAATTGAGCTCAAAAGTTTTGAGTTGGAAGCTAATTGATTCTCCCTGAATGTTTGGGTTCGGGTATGGATATATGCCAAATTGATTCAGAGTATAGGCGATTTGACAACTAACTCTATTGGTAAGAAAGAATATTATGACTATGCATGACTATGTGCAAAATAAACATCGAACTTTATATGGTGTCGTGGTGTCATGATTGCCTTTGCATTATGGGGTGTGTAGAGTGTTTTTACTCTGTAAAAAGAGTAGCTAACACGCTTATTTATGGTAATATAACTCACCTAATTAATTTAAGATAGCTAGCATATAATTATTGAGTACTCCATAATTTGTTATTAGGTGTCTTTGTAAATATCTCTTCCGTCTCAAAAAGTATTTTGCACTTTGACTTTTTTGGTAAAAATGTGACACCTTTGATTATGAGTTAAATATAATTTAAAATAATTATATAATATATAATTTTGATATTTCAAAATTATATATTACTCCCACCGTTCAATTTTAAATTGTATGTTTTCTTTTTTTGTTTGTAACAAAATAAGTTGTCTCTTTCTTACTATAATAAACTTTTAAGGGTAAATTACTTAAATTTCCCTTAAAATAAGTCACTCATCTCCGCCTTATGTTCTCGTTTTTCGCAAGTAATGACATTTTTGGAAGGTCAACTCTATTTTTTCCATCTTTAAATATGTATCAAATTCAAAATATGCAATATAAAATGAGATATAGAAAAAATAAATAAAATTTATTAAATTTACGTTACAACTAAATATTTTTTTTATATATTTTGCGGTGAAAGTATTGTTTTTGGGAGAGGTAGTAATCTCTAATTATTTTCCGTCATTTAACTTCATTTTCATGAAGACAAGGATCAATACGACAATCCGGCTTTCTACTTCCGCTGTTCGCCACCGCCGCCGGTCGTCCAGTCCGCTATCCGCAAGTCGTTGCATCGCCTCACGCAGCCCGGCAACAGAACCCTAGCTCGTTGGTCGGTTGGTCTGGATCCGCCTCTGCGGCTCTCCTTGGGAGAATCCGCCACCGCGTTGCCGCCTCTGGCCACCACGGCACCACCGCTTCTCCAAGTTTCCAATTACAGGTAATTAATTAAAATTTACAAATAATTTTGAATATTAGGATCTAATGTGTGATTCTTTTAAAATTGTTTTGCATTTTATTTGAGTTTTTCTTAATTGTTATGAATCTAGTTAATTGGAGTATATACTTGATTTAATTCATACTCTGTATTTTTTATTATGTTAAATTGAAAATTTAAAATGTGTAACTCATTTTTATTTCCTAGAATAGGAACTACATTGCAAAGATATTTAAAAAAATACAAGATCTAAATGGCAAATATATTACTTTATTGTTACTTGTTGGAAATTATGAACTAACTAGGGCTGGAGACATGAGAGTTTGGGACCCCACGACTACAAAACCCTGGATCCGCTCTGGATCTAGTTCAATGGTTGATATGCATAAATTTTTTAAGTGTAGCTTGAAGGAGAACAAAAATGCTATTGGTTCTTCTTTAGATGATGATATCACTGATATCATAGAGCAAAATGATAAACGAGATACTACACCAAGAAAAAACAAATGAAGAGAGTTTAACCGAAGCTTAAAAAATGAGAAAGTAGATCAACGGAACTACAATGTGGGATTTTGCATCCCAAAAGGCAAGAAAAGTATTTTTTTCGTTGGAATTGCAAGGGAAGAAATATCCCTTTTTAACTAATCTTTATCTTGTAGGAAACATTTACTATGTTTTTTTTAATAATATGTTGTCTACCTTTTTACGAATGAAGTATATATTACTATTACTATATTTTACAGAATAATATTTTTCCTACCATGGAAGAGGTCCCTAACCAAATTTTTAACCTGGGGCTTCGAACAGGCTAGAAATGGCATTGATTTGGCTATTTGGGCATTCGGGGTACCCTTCATTTTTTTTAACTTTTTGAGAAAGAGTAAATAGTTAACATATTAGAATTTCATAAATCAGGTTGTAGAATTTGTGGTAAGAATTTAGAAACTCGATTTTAATAGGACTTTTGCGTAAGAATATAAAATTTCTTAATGACCTGATTGGGAAGCGAGATTTGGATTTCAAATTCAAATTTGACCCAAAATTCATGTTTGGGAATCCAAAAAAATTGGATTTGGATTTGGCAAAATTTCTTTAATTTCTAACAAAGCTCAATTACAAATTCATACACCATCTTGTAATATGAAATCCCAGAATTTAAATTTCAGAATAAAAATTCAAGAATTCAAATAAAATCTAAGCTCCCAAATACTACTTAAACACAATTATTCATTGTTCTATGTTGTTTAATGCTTCTCCAAGAAATCTTCAGTTTTCTACCTTTTATAGGCGACAGATTCTTCTGTGATCCTAAGGTCCACACTTATTTTGTAGATCTTAGTGTACTAATAGCATAAAAAATTGGGCCTTTTATGAAAAAGAAAAAGTCTATTATCGGCCCATGTAAAATGTTAGAAGGTCCACATTTCACATGTGAACTTTAGGACCACAAAAGTACAACTCTTTAGAGGCAGTGGTAATTTTGCATTTGCACACACCCCCAGACCCACTCGTGGGATTTTACTAGGTAGGTTGTTGTTGTTGTTGTGCCACGTTGGCTGTTTACGTTCTAATTGTATTTTATTTGTATTTGTGGAACAAGCTAAATTCTTTCATCATTATTGGGCATTATATCGTTCAGACTTTAGTCATTGTTCTCTATTTGTCAACAACACCAACAACAAACCCAATAAGATCCCAACTCCGGTGGGGTTTGGGGTTCAAAATATGTGCAACCTTCTCCTTGTAAATATTCAGAGCTTGTTGTCTTTAGGCCCTTGATGCATAAAAATATGTGCAACCAGGAAAATGACACTGTAGTAAAAAGCTATACATACACATACATTTTTTTATTTAAAAAAGTCAGCACCTTTTTATGAACTTTTTTGGACTTACATGTTCTCTTAGTTGCCGAATAAAAAGCCTGCATATCAGTCTCAGTTAGATCCCTATACTGTATTTAACTAATTGGATATGATATGATAGAAGTTAAAGCCGCGGGACCTGGGAGAATAGGGCAATGGCAGATTACCACTTTGTATACAAGGATCTGGAAGGGTCCTCGACGCAATGGGACGATATTCAGAGGAAACTCGGGAATCTGCCACCAAAACCGCCACCATTCAAACCGCCCGCATTCATGCCTGCCGAGGATGAGGAATCTAAGCCCAAAGATAAGGATTGGATTGACAAGAAAACTGAGGAAGAGCTTGAAGACCTCGAAGATGATCTCGACGAAGATCGCTTTCTCGAAGAATATAGGTAATGTACACTATATTTGTTGAATTTCCTTAAGCCGAGAACTGATTCTAGAAGATTGCTCTATGCAAATTATTTAGATAAAAAATTTCTTAAAGTTATGATAAGTCTAAGGTTTATGTTAGATTCATGCGTGAAATTTACACCTTTTCAGTCCTAAATAATATCATTTTGTCAATGAAGGCCGTGATCCAATGATTTTGAGAAGTTACCTCTCAGCTAACTTAACGTTGTTGAATTTAATTCTAGTTGGCGGAATGAAGAGGTAGGATTGTAAGTTAATTGACAGGAAAAATAACTTCACTTCCTTAGTGGTTTGTGGAATAATGAAATGGATGTAGTTGATTTGTTTTACCTTTGAGAAGATTGTTTTTCATTTGAATAATGCTAGGATGCCACCACATGGATGCACCCATGCTTTGCACAGACAAACACACACGATAATCACCCATGCTTTGCACAGACAAACACACACGATAATCGTCTGTGTTGCACAGACGATTATCGTTTGTGTTTTTGCAAAGCATGAGTGCACCCATGGTAGCACCCATGTGGTGGCACCCTAGCATGACCCTTTTCATTTAGATTGGTCTTTCTTTACTTTCATTACAACTCTACCACAGTTCTTGTTACACCGACACCTAGTTTGGTATTATAAAAACATGTGCTTTCGGGTCACTCCGGCGCTCCAACGATCATGTAACCTCTTTCGCTACCCAAACCCCTTCGATAGTCCAATGACCAAAAAGGACATACTTGAGTACTTGACGGATAAGGACACTCTACAATGGGTAGGCCTTAGCAATCAAATGGTCTTTGGTTTGCTCTTTTACTTTGATACACCACACTCTTCATTATTTACACTGCTAGTTTAGTTAGTCTCTCTCTCCCATAAATATCTTCTGACTTTCTTATTTGGGTTGTTCCAAAGTTTTCTTCCTCTTTCCTTTTAAGGAAAAAGGTTAGTGGTCATTATCATTGCTCTTTCCCTACACAAACCTCAACCACACAATTTTTACTTTATTAAAAGTCACGCCAAGTCAAACCATGAAGATAATGTTAGGAGGGATGGAGTAATATTCTGCTTGTTAATGTTTACTTGTGTGACAAACTGTACCCCCCCCTCCCGCTTAAAATCAGCAACTGGTCCCCCTCATACTTCTCGTGGGTGACTCAACTCATTCCCTGACCCATCTCACTTTACTCAGTCCTGTCAGAGTTCCGTGATGGCCCGTAAATAACTGGTGTCATAATATGAAACCTAGTGTCATGTTATGACACCAAGAGTGTTGGTGTTACAGGAAGAGCCCTTTTAACAAAGGAACCTCATTTATCCACTTTCTAGGAGATTGTTAATTGATGCCATCATTTTGCATGAGATAATGCCATAATGGTACTAAGATGTGTGCTTCCAATCTCCCTGTGATAGGAAGAAAAGGCTAACTGAGATGAGAGAAGCATCTAAGGTAGCAAAGTTTGGATCAGTGATTCCAATTTCAGGATCTGATTTTGTTCGTGAAGTCTCACAAGCTCCTCAAGAAATCTGGGTCGTCGTGATGCTCTATAAAGATGGGTAAGCTGTTCTACTTCTAACCCAGAGTAGTGCTTTTGTGTCTTGCACTGTTGATTATTGTTACAAATTACAATAGATCCCTAAGACTAAAATCTTGCATTGCAATTGGGCTAGAAATGACATTTTTGTTATGTAAATGATGAATAAGGGTTGTTAATGTTTAAAAAGTCATACTCATAATTACAGAAAAGCAATCTTCCCAACATAAAAACTTGCCTACATTATAGGCATCTAGCATTGCTATTTGAGCTATAAGGAAAACAATATCACATCTTTCAGAATTTTATTTAATGTGGTGAGCGTTTTTGACAGATACCCAGAGTGTAGGATGCTTTTGCAATGTCTAGAAGACTTGGCCAAAAGATACCCTGCAACAAAGTTTGTGAAAATCATATCGACAGAGTGCATCCCAAACTATCCTGATCGTAATCTGCCAACTATTCTGGTGTACAAGAATAGTGCAGTTAAGGCAACTTATGTGGGGATGCAAAGCTTTGGTCGTAGGTGCACTCCTGAAGGTATGTGTGCTTTTAGGACATGTCTTTGATCTATGGAAAAATGTTAAAGGTAAATAAATGAATAGCACTCCCTCTGTCTGAATTTAATCTTTCCCTTTGATTTAGGCATTGGAGTTAACGATAGGTAGTGTTTTGGATGCCAAATTAGACCGGAGAGAAACAATATTGACCTAACAATTCTCTTTCATTATTTGTATTGAGATGAATGATTTTTTTAAATAACAACAACAACAATAATAATAATAAAATAATAATAATTATCCGGTTGGGGTCTAGTGACACCAAAGTACGGTGACACTCCGGTGCCACTGTCTTTTTGGGGCACTTCCGGTGCTCCGTTCGTAAAATTGACGGTTCCTACCCCGCCATAAGCCCCCCATAAAATGTGTGGCTATTATGCAATGCATAATAGCCACAAATTTTGTGGGGGGCTTANTAGGAACCGTCAATTTTACGAACGGAGCACTGGAAGTGCTCCAAAATGACAGTGGCACCGCTAGTGTCACCAAAAGTGGGTGTCAGTAGAACCCCGCTATTATCATTTATCATTAATAATAATAATGATAATATAATAATAATTTCAACGACAATAATAATGTGTTTTAGATCAGTGGTCTGATTGTGATATCTTCAGTTCAAACACTTCCTCCGTCCTAAAACACAGGTCAATTTTTTTCTTCTTTCTTATTGAACATAGTCATGTCACATTGTCACAGCCTATTTTATAGAGCATTTGACGGAGTATTCAAAATACATGATTGAATTTATTCTCAAGTGTGTGCCATCATTTCATAAAATTGAATGTAAAACTAGTTCAGTCAAGCCCTGCTAGCCGCAACAAGACTTTAATAATGGGACTGAGGGAGTATCTTATAACCATTAGCCCATGCATCAATATGTGCAGTTTGCAGACAAGGGAAAGGGTACAATTCCCGTAACGGGTTTTGCATAACATCCAACAAGATCGATCTTCTGATATTACCTTTCTTACTTTCTGCGGTGATGAAGAAATAAATGTGTTTGTGCGTTTGTTTGTAGGTGTGGCCTTAGTTCTGTGTCAGTCAGATCCTGTGCTCAACGATGGCCATAACGGGGAACAATCAGGAGAGGTGGTTTTGGATGGGATCAGGAAGAAGTTTCTTGAGAGGGTCGTGAAAGAGAGTGAAGAAGACAATGATGGATCTTCAAGTGATTGATCGATCGATCCATGGAGGTGACATTTCGTCCCGGCCACATTCCTAAACTTCATTTCATGCTTAAGCTATGGCTAAAAACCCCAACAATTTGGTCTCCAAACAATAATTTTGCTGCCAAAAAGGTTGCATCTTTAATCAAATTTTGGTGTCACAATAAAAACATCCGGGACAATTTGAGCCTGTGCTTTGTGTCTAGTTGCTTAAGCCGGTTTCTGTGCTTTAATTTTTATTTGTGTTTGTTCTTACTATGGTTTCTTTGTCCATTCTGCATTTGATCGAGTTGTGGGTCTCTTGTAAACAGCATTCTTAATTTCGTACTAGACAAGGTCTGCCTCCGCACTCTGCTTCCTGACCATACTTTTGGAGCAGAATGGTGAATTTGAGAATTTCTTTCAACCTAACTTTCATCAGTTATTTCAATTCATTTAATTTGAAAATTAGAACGAATTAAAAAATAAAATTTATATATTTTAAAAATTATATCAAAAGTTTTACGAAACAAGAAGCGGAAACTAAATAATAAGAAGTACATTATTTATATTGTTCATCATGATTTCTTTGTTGAATACTAGCTGTATGAAAAGTGGACAATTAGTTCTAGACAAATGGAAACAAGTGCACCACTACTGGCGGCGGTAAGGCCCAAGCAGTGGAAGACAAATGGAAACAAGTGGACAATAAGGCTAACGGTGTGGTGTTTGGCAACAGCTTCACCATTTAGTTTTTACGGTTTGAAAATGATTTTTTAATTAAAGCAACATTATATTAAGGTTTAGCATTTTCAAAGTGAATATGCCCAATCAAAAATGCATTTTAAGTACTAAAACTAATTGAAAAATGCTATTTTCAAACAAGACCTTCAACCCACGTCGATTGGTCACTCTAGAGACAATAACGTAAAACTGGTAATGACTAAAAATTGGTTTCTTGAGCAATAATCCCACCTGCTTCAATGATTGACCCTGGTTTTTTGTTAACTGTCATTGCGTAAGATGTCATAATGGAAAATTGTTTCCTCTAGAATTTAAAGGAAATCCGAGTATCTAAAGAAGTGAGCTGAAGTTGAGGAATAACTACTTCGTAGCTTGCATTCTTACCACTCATCACTTTTCAATTCCTTAAATCAAATGTGTGTCCAATCTTGTAACAATCAATATAGTTTTATTGCACAAACTCATAGATTCATCAATATTTCTCAACAACATGACCGGTGCCTCAACCTACCTTTAATTTGAGTTATTTCATGATTGGGTACACCGGCTGCCCTGATATTGTTTTAAAATTCTGGGAAGTGCAAGTCTAATATGACATCCAAAAGAACCTCTTAATAAAATATACCGTTTATTGTAATTAAAATTTTTAAAATATTTTTTATATTGAGTTGTTCGTCCATGATTGTAAAATTAAATGTGAATCTTCTCATGTTTTTCATGGTGGGCTGGCAACATGATTTTTTTTTGCAAAATGTCCTATTTTTTAATGATATCGATGCACTAAGATCTATAAAATACGTATGAACCTTAACACTATGTTTGGTTCAAGGAATTCAGATGAAAAAAAAAAGAAAATAGTTTTCTCTCATTTTCCTCACCAAAATTGAAGGAATTTTGTTTTTTCTTCACTTAGTACATTTTGTCTTTTCATGTTCTTTTCCTTCTTCTTTTCTTTTCTTTTCTTTTTCTCTCTAACCAAACGTCTTTTCATATATTTCATTTCATTTCAAAAGTTAAAAGTATATACTCCGCCGTATTTAGATTTTAGATGGACCGATCGATCAATATATGCATGCGGACGTGAGATAAGCACGAATTTTATTATAAAGCCATAAAGGTGGAATATTATTATATATCTTCCAATCTGAGGGTTGTGAATTTATACTACTTGAAGTTTGCCATGTTTGATTATAGCTAGCTAGGGACTATTCATTTTCAACCCAACTTGTATAGAAATTGATCCATAAAAAAAAACTACAATTCATTTTCCATTTTTTTAATGTCTCATGTTATTTTTCTCTCTCATCTACGAACCACACCATTTTATTTTTGTTATTTTTTGCAAAAAAAGTGCAAACTGATATAGTTAATTGATTTTTATACATTTGTTTAAAAAAATGCCATTCAAAAGGTCCACTTTTTTACGACGTAGTCAATAATCAATAATATCGTAAAGGAAGCCGGTGAGCGTTGCGCAGTTGGCCAGAGGTAAAACCCGAATTCGATTCCTGACAACTACGCTGGGAGGCAACTATGTTAAGCATAGGACCTCTGCAAGTACTAGGTGCAAGCTTCCCTCTTTGCCATCAATCTGCGATCAAAGTCTAATTTGCTTTCTCTCAGTGACCGTCTGACCGGGTATGAGGGAGCCCTCAGGGATGGGGCTCATCTTTTTTTTTTAATAATACCTTAAAGGAAAAAATGGTGTGCCAAAAATACTTGGACCCTTCTTCCCCTATCCCTTCACTGCTCACATCAAAGAATTTCGACCTATCCGATATGAAGCATTTGATTCTCTTCATATCTCCGACAAACACGCAGAGATAGCATTTTATTTTCTATGTTTTTTGTTTGTTTGTTTTTGCTCTGTGTCCATTTTTTGCTCCCTATAAATGAAACCACCTAGAGATCTCCAAACTCACCCCAACCACAACTACATCTACATAGTCAACGACGTCGTACGACCCACTACACATACCCACATTACTATATTTACTCTAATTTCAATTTCATATAAATTTATTATTATACGTTCGTAGATGGACCGAACCGTTGGGTCCAGGGGACGGGGCCACGCATCCACGTCAGCAGGCACGAGGAACAACAACAACAACAACAACACGAGCGCTGCCGCCTTGGGTGCGAGGAGCAGAAACAAAATGGTGGCGGCGGAGGAGGAGCCGGGGTCGTCGAGCCACCCGGCGGTGGTGTTCGGAAACATGGTGAGGGAGATGGCGGAGAAGAGGGCGGTGGTGATATTCACCAAGAGCACCTGCTGCGTCAGCCACAGCATAAAGGTGCTGTTCGTGGACATGGGGGTGAACGTGGAGGAGCACGAGCTGGACAAGCACATGTTGGGCCCCGAGCTGGAGTGGGCTCTGAAGAGCATGGGCTGCGCCCCGCCCGTCCCCGCCGTCTTCATCGCCGGAAAACTCGTCGGCTCCGCCACCCACGTCTTCACCCTTCAGGTCTCCGGCCGCCTCCGGCAAATGCTCCTGGATGCCAATGCACTTTGGGTCTAGTGGCTAATTAATCAATCAATATTACCTAATTAATCAAACAAACAATAAAAACGCGACTTATTAGTATAACGTAATCATATATATATATATATACACTCATCATCAGCTCGTACGAAGAGTAGCAGTCCTTGCTAATTACTGTAATTAGACGTGCTTAATTACGCGCTAATTGTGTCATGTCAAGTACGTAGCCAGAGCTTATAGCTTATTATAAAAGCTTGTACGTAGCCGGCCATGCATGATGCATTAGTGTATATATATATATATATATATATATATATATATATATATATATATATATATATATATATATATATGCCTATATTTGGCATTAACTAGCCTCCAAGTTTAGTTTCAGCGTTTTGAAAACACCATACAGTGATACTCCGTAGTTTTTAATGTTTGTGTGTGTCTTCTATGTTAATCTACTTGCACCACTCAGAAAATATTCAATGCTATTCACAAACGCTATTGCCAAACGAAACCTATGTCAACCCCAACCTTCTCCCATGCTAAATTCGGGGGCTTGGGGTACGCGCACGCAAACATTAAAAAGTGAAAAGTCACTTAAAATTTCTAATACAAAAAACTACTAATTGTCTAAAGGATAATTTAAATTCAGAGCATCAGGTCATTTCTAAAACCAGCAAACGTAGGTAACTATTCGGCCGGTCCTACAAGGCCGCAGAAGTGGGGTTCATCATTTGAAAAGAACAAAGAAACAAAGAGCATGACAGACAAAACATCATAAGCCTTATGATTCATTCATTTCTGGGAGTAGATGTGCTTATGTTTCATCTATATGAGACAGTGTTTTATAAGTTTCAAATTTCTTACCCGTCAATAAAATCTTTCAGGAAGGGGTTGTGCTTCTCGGCTTTGGCATGCCTGCGCCAATTTTCAACAGCTCTCTCGACATTATCCTTTGCCTTTTGTACCTCCTCCGAGCTAAACTTGTGTTCTATGATTCCTAACGGACCAGGTTGTAGCACCTTCACAACAGTTTCCACTTCCTGCTCCAGTTGCCTGTAACAGAATACCCATTTGGAAATGATGGATTCACGGGCCCCTTACTCAACTTGGAGCGGCCCAATAACAAACTCGAAGTGTCAATGAAAACAGACTTTGGGAAATTTGGTTAACCGATATTAGCCAACCAGGCAGTCCTCCGAGAGGAAGAGTTGATCTCGTAATTTCTTGAGGTCGACAGAATAGTGTTTTATTGATTAAAGTGTTGTTTATGCTCAGTGTTTACAATATATCTTTCTTTCTCTTAGGCTCTGTTTGGATTAGGAGTATATGTAAGAGTAAGTACTCTTGGTTACTCCTGTTTTGGAGTTTTTTTTAGGATTGCAAGGGTTGTGAGGAGGAGTAGCATTTACTCTCCACCTACAGACCTACACATATTTACTCTCCATTTTTTAACACTCCAAAATGGAGTGTAAGTGAGATGTAAATGTTCAAACAAGGTTTCTTGCCTTACTTTTATTTATTCTTCCCTGTTCTTACTCTTACCCTTCAAACTTACTCCATCCACCACCATCATCCAAATCTATGGTAGGACATACAATGCTCACACTCAAATCTCGATGAAGATGAAGAACAAGGAGAGAGAGAGATGATTCATAGTATATACAATTACATAGAAATCACTACTAGCTACCATCTTAGAAACAAGCTAGGGGACCTTTAACATCAGGAATTGTGGGCTAAAAACCAATTTTCACTGAAATTGAATTTGTTCGAGCTTTCATCCTGTTGTTCACGAGCGCAATTGCAGGCAAATCCAAACAGATGTTCCATTTTTATTTAAATTGCATACAAGAAGATGACTCTGGTTTACACATACGAAATCAAAAACTATACAAAACCTACAACTGCAAGGCCTTCCAAACTAAGAAGAACATACAGGAGTTAACGGCAATCCAGGTTTATGACCGAATTTTCCATTGACGGACCAAAAATCTCTTCAATCAATATGATCACAGATGCATCTCAACTCGAGGAAGAAGACTAGAAGTAGGATACGCACCTCAAGGGTCGGGAGAAGGGCAAAGCGCTACCAATCTTCTGGAAAAACGACCGCATTATGCCTGGGTGATTAAGTATTTTTCAAACCCAGCAAAAAAAAGATACTCCATATGAAAAGATTCACACGATTTGAAGCTTATTTCGCACCTCCACATTCATAATTTATAAAGAAAAATTCTAAAGATAAACAAATTTACCGAATTACTTTCGAATCGTTTCAAGCATTCTTATAATTTCACTAGCATGAAATGCACAATGCGTTTAGTACCCAACAATGAAAGTGATGACCAAATAGAAACTAAGATAAATAAAGAGAAATTTGTAAAAAAGTGTTACACTGTTACTTATTTTTTGTTCTCTACCCCTACTTGTAAAGTTAATATATTGATTTTCTCGAATGGGATGGCACCAAATGTTTATGTCAAAAATGTAACTTCTATTGCTAGCAACAACATTTGGTCACAAAGAAAAATGCAAAAACGGAAAAGACTAACATCAAGCTTTTATAATATGAATAGCTTAGTTTCGTAAAATATCAAAGAGTAGACACATTTGAACAGGTACTCTGTTATCTTCATTACTAAGGCCATGTTTTCTTCAACTTATTCTTATTACTTTTTCTTATTGGTATCAGATTAGACCAGCCCAAATCAGATTAGAAACAACTTCAAATATAACTACATTCAGATCAAATCAAATCAAATTAGAAAATCAGATCAGATCAGAAACATTCAAATCACGTGAAGAGAACATGGCCTAAAGGCTAAAGCACCCTCATCCGTAACCACACTTTTAGTTGCTACTATGTATAAATTAACAATTATAGATTCAAATTTTATTCTAACATTGGAAATGTATTCCCATAAACAATTAAAAGTTCGAAGTGGGAAATAAACTTGAAACGGATTCTCCAAAAACAACCTAAAAGTATACCAACCTAACATCTAGGATGTACCACAGGAAATTTATAATTGGCAAATGAGATCCACTAAATTGAAAAGATTGTTTTCATAAATATACTAATTCCAAGGAAAAAATTACAGTGTAAACTAATTAGCATCTCTTGTATATACTTGCAGAAATTGAGAAATTGCGACCCAAATATTAAAACTGAAATTGATAAATTCCAACAACAAATTATCATTTTATGAAATTATCATCTATCAAAAGTGAAACAATCTAGAGACTCCAAATATAACAATACACACAATTTCAAAAAAAAAAAAGCCCTAAAAATTGGAATTCGAATAACAGTATAAAGAGAACGAAGTTAGGGCTTTGGACACACCTCAAATAAGAGAGGTACTGGCGCCAAATCAAGCGCGACTGGAAATTGAAAGAAAGACGGAAAAAGGAGTAATCCGTCAGGATTTATCCAATTGGCAAAGACGGATCGGGAAACTCGGGATTACAGAAATTATGCTTAAATTTTGATTTTATCAGATCTAGTTAATGATATTAAGGTCAATTTGATAGCATAATGAGTTATATTTAGTGGTTTAATTTATTTTCAATTTAAAAAAATAAAGAGTTCTAGGATACTAGTACATATATATTGCTAGTGATTTTATAGTTTGTTAGTACTCAAGGATAGAAATGAGATGATATTACAAGATTTACGATGTATGGGTAGTCTAATATATAAATTTAAATATTTTTATTTATGCCAAACTCGTAAATAGAAATAGCCAAGAAGACTTGTAGAGTACTCCCTCCGTCCTATATCTTTCTTCCCGTTGCGCAAAACGAAGAAAAATCCCAAGTTTTTTCAATCTATTTTATTTAAATATTGGTATAGAAATGAAAAATAAAACATACTTATTTAAAAACTACATCAAAAGTTCAACAAAACAAGTGGTGATAAGAATATTTTGTTTTATCATATAGGCCATGAAAAAACACAAATAAATATAAATTCCCGTGAAGTTGGAATTGTGCTCGGGGAAGAAAGATTTAGGACGGAGAGAGTATTAATTTTGGAGGACTTGTTATCACTTGAAGAAAAAAATTCTACAAGTTACTTTTTGAAAATGTATGTTTCTCTTGACAAATATGGTAACAACAAAAACTAAGAGTTATGTTTTGGAGGTGGAAGTGCAAGATATACTTTTTCAAACAATGAATTTACGCGATATTCGTAATTTAGAGTGCGGTGATATATTTTTTTTGAAAGAAAGATTTTTTAATTAATTCTTAGCATTCACCAACAAGTTATCACAAATGAATGCTAGAAAGAAAAATTTCACTCCAATAGGTTAAACATAGATTCAAATACCTTAGCAAGCAAATGAACGTCATGCCTATAATTCTACACAAACATCGGTAAGCATAAATGCATAACCAATATTCCTATTTATATTGGATATATCCACCATCATTTGTTATAAGTGTACATGTTTACTTTTGAAAGTGTAAAAAGAGAAAAGTGATAAGAAAACTAGTATAAGGATAAACTTATCTAATTTTCATAAATGAGATAGATTTGACCAAAAGCAAGGTAAATTTAGCAACACCTATATAATAATTATGGCATTAATTATATAATAAAAATGTTGAACACTAAGAGAAAATAGAGGATAATGTTGAGAAACTCTTGATAACCAATCATAACAAACTATGCTCAACAACTAACATATTAGCTTTGCTATTTCCCCTATCTCACAAATGATTTACATTTTCTTTTTTTAGACCTTCAAAAAAAAACTTTACACTTACGTTTATTTCCTATTATAGTAATGAATATATAACTCACAATATTTCTTTTTCATATAAAACAAATTATAATCATATATACCATATTTTCATGTATTTTTAAACATTTTTCTAAAACTTTGTAAAAGTCAAATTGTAAAGTATTTTATGGAACGAAATGAGTACGTAATGTGAAAGATGTAAGCACTAAAGTGCTCCCAAAAATTTTGCTGGTTACACCTTGCAGTATCACCAAGATCAAGATCCCTTAATCTCAATGTTAGATTGTCCATTTTTTGTCAGTGTAATGCTATTTGTTGTGTATAAAATGTGGACACGTGCAATTGTTAAAAGCTAGATGATGAGAGTTCATGTAGAAGCTATGCGTGTTGTGCTTGCTCGTAGAAGATGATGGAACAAAAAGAGTGCCATTAGGCTCGAGTCAACCTGTTAACAGCACAATTTGCTCGAGTCAAGATGACCGAAAATACAGAACAAATACACAGTCAAAGCAAGAAATTATACTGCTTAAGCACATACCTGTATCGATTCTTTCTTCGTGTAGGAGAATTAAAGTAGGGCAGGCAGGCACTTTTTTTAGGCCAGGTACTTGTACGTGTTTGGATTCCCTCTGTCCCTCTCCAAGTAATCTAGAGTAATTAGGTGTTCAATCCTCTTCTTGATTGCCCTGAAATCAGGCTACAAAAACACAGCAAAAGAGAGTTTAGATGTCTCAAGGTCTTCAATAGTAGTAAGACAGTGTTTGGAGTGCATGGGAGATGCTTTTCAAGAAAACACATTTTCCTAAAGAAACTTTATTTTTACTACAAAAATGGTTTGTTTTCTTCTTCTTTTTTTTTTTGGTTTAGAAGAAAAAAAGTTCTTGTGCTGACACTTGTGAAATTAGTTTTCTCACCACTTGGAAAGACTTTTACAAGACTATAACGTGCGTGGTAATTTGTAATGCAAAAATGTTGTGGAAATTTCATTTTCTAAACTGAGGGAAATGAATTTATTCTGTACCAAACCCAGAACCATTCTAGGCAAGGTGAACTACAAGACGCATGAAAGAATATACTCTGTAACACACACCTTGAACATATGGCTCAAATGCTCAACGCACTCTAAAACAAGTTGTTGATGAGCCAAAACTTTCCTGCTCTTCATGATTCGCACAAGGCATGCATCAATAGCATGGCCCCTATCTTTGTCAACATCCTCCGCCACCTTTTTCCTTTCATCAACCGGAGGCAAAGGAATCTACACACATGTCAAAAGCCATCCCCTCAATATTATCATTAAACTTAAATTGAGCCTTTGTTTGGTTAAAAAAAGAACAGATGATGTAGGGGAGGGGAGAGGAATCAGGGAAATGGGAGGAGAGAAAAATGGAAGAGTTTAAGTAGATATTATTTGTTTGGTTAGAGGAATAACGAGCACGGGTATAAATTTTGAAGAACCCACACAGGAATAGTCTTTGATGGTAGGATTTTTGTTGTAATAAAAATAAATACAGCAATCCGGATGTATAACAATAATAATGTAGAAAAAAAAATTGCGAAAAATATTACTCCAAAACACCCCAACTTGGGGAGCAAGGTATGAGAAGATAGGCGTGTATAGCTCCTCCACATTCATCCCCTAACTCCTCGAACCTAACACAACACTTTGAATTTGCTCCACTCCAAAGCCCTCCAACGAAACAATGGCAGAGCACAATAAATAAATTTAAAAAATTACAAAAACTAAAACATAAGAGATAATGTTCTAACCCTGATTCTCCGCATTCGGTCAGTGAACTTGGAATTGAACTCGAAATGGTCATCCGGAGAAACTGTTCGGTTGTTAGGCTGCTTGATCAGAATCTTATACTTGGTACAGGCAAGAGACTGCAGCAACCTGACCAGGTCTTCATCAGCCAAATTCAGCTGGCTTTTAATTTCCTGGTAACTCAGTCTATCTGAGGCATTGAATAGTAGCAATGCAGCTGCCTGGAAATGATAACACAGAAAAAAATAAAATCGGTCTCCCATTGCAGTAAACGTACAACTACTGTACAAGGGTAGAATACTACAATTATATCGACACATCACCTGATAAGTTCCCAAAACCAGTTCAATGGTTTTGGCATCAAACTTCCCAATTACATTGCATGTTCCCAAAGAATAAATCCAAGTAAGCCTCCTGTTATTAGTTTTTGTTTCATAAAATTCCTTGAAGACCTCAACACACTTGGCCTGTAACAGAATTATAGAAAAACCATCGACATAGAAGTGATAGAAAAACATTTCCTAGTGTATATAACTATATAATAAATAAAGAGTATATGCCTAGCAAAACCCACCATCTCGGCTGGGAGACTCAAATCAGAAGATTTATAGCTCGGCCAGAATCCAGTTGTGAGAAGCGTAACAGTCAAATCAATTCCAGGACTAGCAGCCGGGTTATTGTTAAGATATTCTTGGAAATGATTCTGATTTTCCTTTGTTAATGTCAAATCTGTGACCTAAAAAACAAGGCGAATATAATAACACTAAAAAAGAGAGGTAAGAAATGCAGGGAGATTTTAAATAAATACATTTAAAAGAAAAACTACTTACCATCCCCTCCATCTTTGAGGTGAACTGTCCACCATAATGCTGCTTCAACTTTGTTAAGATAAGTCTTTCATGGTCATCATTTGCACTTTTATCAAAAAGCAACCGACGAGACAACTTCTTCCTATAAAGAGCCAAAAGAGTAAAGATAAGAAAGATTCTTTAGAAATATAATAATATATACCAGAAATATTAACAAACAATTCTTTGCTAAGTCATTAATTCTCCACCTGAAAAACTCAGCAAAAAGATCCTTATCGCTTATATATGCCAAGAGCTTGACAACCTGCAAAGTGCGTACCATATTGATTATTAGCAAAGAGAAGCATTAAAAGAAATGCAGTAATCTCCATGTTATTCAGAATACATAATCATATCTTCCAAAATAGTTGTATTTTATTACCTTATCCAATGTTTCCTCAGTATCCTCGTCGCTGAGCTTTTCGCTTCCACCCTTTTTAAGGATATTATCACAATAAGAAGCCAGGTGTTCGGCACTGGAGAAGCCACCGACAACTTTATTACAAAATACCTCAAATGCATCTTTCAATGCCTACGGGAAACCAAGACTTTGCATTAAAAAGAAACAATACAAAAAAGTGAATCACACAAAACACAACCGAGACATATTTAGCTCACCTTGTGAAAGAGAGAATTGTTCGAAAAACAATAAGTCACGTATGACATATACTTGTCATGAAGCTCAATCACTTTCCGAACAAAAACCTTGAAGACATGACATGGCATGAATCAGTCTTTAAAAGTAGCAGTCTATAAAAATAATCAGAAACATTATTTTAAACTATGTTAATTACATTGTGGCACTATAAATTTTTTATTTTTTAATTTATACCAAACAAACACTGTGTAGGACTCTTAGATTAAATATCTGCATTGTATACAAAACATTTACCTGTTCCTGTGAATTTCCCGCAGCACTTTCGGCCTGCATAAGAATTTATTATATAAATACTTCAAAAGTCACGGATATGAAAAAAACCAATAAGCCAATAACTATTACTCCGTTCCAAGTCCGCCTAAGAAAACAGTAACAGAAGAATTTTTACAATTTCAGCTCTGTTAGGTTGTGGCCAGACATAAGATGTTATGGAAAGACTACTTTATGCTATTTTAATTGTGGCATTATAAAATTGTTACTTTTTTTATTTTCAACCAAATAAGCACTTTTCTAGAAGTCAAATCACCATACACATAATATCATGTTTAACACACAAAAATAGAAATAAAAAAGTCTCATGAAAACCACATGCTCCCTCCGTCCCAAAATAGACGTCATTATCTACTATTTGCATGTCGAATCTAACTCTCTTTCTTTGCTTATTTTCGTTGCTCATTTGGTAAAATAATATAGTAACGTCACCTATTGTTTTTATAAGTCCTTTGATGCAGTTCTTAAATTTATAAATCTTATAATTAAATTTTACACCAGTTTTTTAATAAATTGAGTTGAAAATAATTTTAATCAATATTCATTAACCATAAAGTGAGCATAGGATAATCTGAAGAATATTTTCTAGAAAAATATTTTGCTCCAATCCAATGCAGCCTTGGTTCCACAACAGCACAACCAAATATGTGTACAAGCAAAGCCATCAAACTTAAAAGGCAGCAAAAAGATACATCTTGGGTATTCTAGTGAGGTTCCAACCCCATCACAACAAAAACAATTTAAAAATCTATTCAGGTATTCAACAATAATAGTACTCCGTATTATAGAACAACAACAACAACAACAACAACAACAATCCAGAAGAATCCCAAGAGTAGTATTATGAAACTTAGAAGTTAATAAATAGTTGTGATATATGGGTGAGGGTGATAAGAGAGGCTATGGATTTCAAAGAAACATACTTTACTCCGAGCTGCATCTTCAGCCTGCTGCACCAACACCATGCCTTCAGCGGTGACATGCTACAATAAACAAATGACAAGAATGCCTTAGCATGATGAGGGCAATTAAGCAGAATGAGGGTAGCAAAGAAACCATAGTACCTGTTTAAACATATTGGCAACTGAATCTAATCCTTTGGGAATGTTCAGAAAAAGCCTATACATCCTAGATAGATCTTCCAACTGACATTAAAAAGAGGAGATGGAGAAATATATTAACTATAGATGCAAGAGATGGAAATGAGAGTTTAATTGTGGAACAAAATCTATGTACCTTATCATCCTTGAGCAGTGCGCGACAACCAGAATGCTCCTTTTCAAGCAGTTGATTATTGTATACAACGAGCAACTCGTTTTGCACTTTCTATAGCATAAAGAATTACAAAGTGTGAGTAATTTAAAAAACAAATGGGCATAAAATAATGCATGTTAACCGTAAACAAACAAACGATGATGACAACCCCATTGTAACCCCAACCCTTTAGAGTCCGGGGTCAAGATGTAATCAACCTTACCCTATATAAATAGAGGTCATTTCTGTTAAACCTTGAGGCAATTACAATCTAAAACTTCATAGAAAGTAAGAAGCAATGGAAGTTTGCAGTGCCATTTTTATTTAGTCCATTATTTACCCAAAACTTAAACATTGTCACAACCTGCAGCAGCATAAAAAACCCAGTATAATCAAAACTTTGTTCGGGTTGAGTGCCTTTGATGCATTTACTTCTCAAAAAGTTCATAAAAAGTGAGAAGTAGGGAAGTTGAATGTAGTATCGTGATTTTTTTCCATCATTTACTCCGAGCTAAAACATTCAAAAAATGACTCTTGAGGTAGAAATAAACAACAATGGGTTCCTAATACTAGTAAAATATAGAGTAAATTCTAAAAATAGTCCTTCATAACAAGGATTTTTCATATCTACCCCCAATTCTTAGATATAAAATTCGTGGTCCTTGATATTTAAGCACTATTCCACAACAAGTACTTCGTGGACTATATGTGAAAAACAATAATTGGGTCAAAGGACTGAGTATGGAATATTGGAATGTTCTCAAATATAGAGGACCACGAAAACTTAGATATATGAAAACTTCCGTTATAAAGGACCATTTAAGAAATTTACTCTTAAATATAAATTAGAACTAATCATTATCTATTGGATTGTTTAAAATTATATTTAGGACAGGTGTTGTATGTAACGATACATACCTCCAGGAGCTTGGCTTCACTACTTGAATGTAGATAATGAGAAACTCTTTCTTTCTCCTTTTTCAAACACTCTTCTGCCTGAACTTAAAGAGAAGAAGTTAAGCAGCATCTTGTAAAGGTTACACATGCATGGAAAACTAACTGAAAGAAGAAGAGAAAGGTGAATAAAGTTTACCTTTAACATGTAATCGGGACAAGAGTCTTCAACTATCCAGTTTGATGCTTTTCGAGAATAAAAATCAGCAGTATCCTTGAGCATGGAATCTTCAAAGTCATTCTCGTAGTATTCCATCTGTCCCATCCCCATTTCAACAAAAATGTCGAGTACATTCTTGAGTAATGCTCTATCAATATACTCTCCCTCACGTTCTTGATCAATCTGGTATGGAAGTAGTTTCAATTACAATGTGTTGCAAATATCTGTAAAAATTGTGAAAAAAATGTGGAAACAAAAGAGTTACCTGAGCTATGACAGCATCTCTAGCTTTAACTCTTAACTCCAGGTAAACCTGTTGACAAGGAGTGTGTAAATGGTAAGAACAAAAACCATCACCTCAAACAAACAAACAATGCTAAACATAAAAGATGGGAACAAACCCGATTACGAAAGCAAATAAGCCCAGCATCACAAAGAGAATGAAGTGATCTCCGTGCAATATAGTATCTGTCAAGATAGCAGAAAAATCTAGAAAGCCACCTGACCATAATGTTGTGATTTGCCCATCTTTTAACAAGCTCCTTTAGCATGAATTCATCATGTTTCTCTCTCAAAGAAGGCAAAACCTACAAATGAAAAACATAGAAAATCAGATGCAATAATAAATAACGTAAACTAACTTACATACCTTCATTCAAGATGGTATAGACGTTGCAAATATTCCATCTATTGTCTAAATGTATATGTGAGTTCAAAAAAACACTAAAAAAACATAGATGCTTCAACGGGCAGAAATTCTTACTACTGAATTGATGTAACCATCAAATGCTTCCTTGTACTTCTCATATAGCCGCTCAGAATAATCATTGGGAGGTTTCTGTGTGCACATGTTATAGATAGTGCTAATTTATAACTAAGGAGGAACAACTATAAAATCATAAGTGACAGAAGAGTAGAGAAGGGACCATCACTATGAGGCTTCCGTGTGGATATCATCGTTAAATAGTGTTAGCAGTAATAAAAAAAGGATACGTGTAAAGCAGAATATACTCTTCGGGGTTAAAAGACTCGGGTTCCCCTTCCAAGATCCTCTTTAGCTTTGAAATTCCCTTTTGCATAAATTTCAATCCTTCATCCAACCCTATTATCTTGAATTGGTTCATAGTTATCTTGACTCACTTCACTTATATCTTCTGAAGCACAACATATCATAATCCATTAGAACTCAATACGATGCATCAAATAGATCTAGCATGACATAAAAATAACAGGAATTAAACACAAGAATGCCTGGATGCTTAAACTCCAAAGTCCACACAGATAGAATGTGTATGAATGTGTACTGAGCTTTAATATTCAACAAAGTAGCATGAAAGAGGGTGAGAATACTCTCAATTTCCAAAACTAGCTGAGTATAGATTAGAACTATCTAAGGAACAGAAACGTTAAAACAGCTCATGCTCTTCCTATAATAAGAACTATAAATGTGCATTCGCTTCTGCATAAAATTAAAAATGCAGATTCCTATGCAACAAAAAATATGAAGAAAAAACTGTAGAATCCGAATAGAACATTAAAAAAAATTACAGACAAATATCTCCAGAAAACTCGTGAATGATATAAAAACAACTACTGATTGTGTTCGGAATCTGAACAATTGAAACGAGATGTGATTTGCGTTTAATAATACTAACTGATGAGGTTTGAGAAGCGAAGTTGATTGCAATACCAGAGTTTGAGTGCGTGTGGAAGAACGTAGAAAATGAAGGAGCTGAGAGTGGAGGGAAGAAGAAGAAGAATGGCGAATTGCTTCTCGAGACTAGGGAGAGAGAGCCTAGAAGAGGCCAAAAGTAACGGTTTTGAATAAATTTAATATTGGAAAATGGTTCACCTCGAGTAATATTTATTAAGGTACTCCGTATTTATTAAGGCCAAAACTCTTGAAGAGTTAGAAAAAATTTAGGCAGAGTGAATTTTTTTTTTGGAAGGAGTTAAAAGTTTAGAAAAAAAATATTTTTTATTAAAATATTAGACTAGTTTATAATAGGATTAGAATCCTAATGATATTTTAGTTCCATTTTTCTTTGTATTAGTACTTTCTTCTCTTACCTTGTTTAGGATTCTACATGTAATTTCTATAAATACTTTTGGAAGATGCATTATTAATAAGATCAATTAAAAAAAAATTATAGAAATAATAGGACAAGAAAGATAATTAAATAATTATATGATTTTCTATTATCTCTATTATTCCTACTAAAAATGATGCATATAGATTAAATTTTTTTTCTTTCTTACAGAACAATTATAAATATTTGAAATAGTAGTCTCTTCTCAAAGTACTTTTATTCGTTAAAATTACTTTGTTCTTTGTATCTATCTTGTGTGTCTTCTCTGCTTCATGTGCATTTGTGATCATATATTATCTGTGTTGTTTGAACCGAGAGTCTCTTGGAAAAATCTTTCTACATTCGAGTAAAGACAAGATTTATGCAAGCACACCCTCCATAAACCCTACTCTCATGAGATCTAACTGGATTGTTATTCTTATTGTATTTCAAATATGTGAACTACGATTCACAAAGATCAAGCTAGAAGGTTTTGGAGTTTAACTAACGACCAAGATTTGTCACAAGCTCGAAATGGACTAGACATTAATTGTGAGATCGAAATAAGTATAAGTTATTCGAAAATGTAGAAATATAGAGGATAAATTATTTCAATAAAAGCATAAAATTAAAAAAAAAAAAGAATGATGATCTCAAAAAGCGTGATGAATAGTAATATTGAGCATGATTCACAAAAATCGTATTGTATGTATAATACTTTAAAACAAAAAAATAGTGACATACAAAAAATTGAAAGACAAAAAATGAAATAAATAAAACTCACTCCAATGAGTAAATTATTTTCATTATTTATTTTGAATAAATGAAAAAATAATGTTTAAAAAAATATTTTGAATAAGAACATATGAAATTTTAACAATTTTCATTTTTTCAATATTTTCTAACCACTTCTAGTTTTTTCAACTTCTCTCAATTTCCTCATATACTTTTTTCAATTTCTTTCACACTACAAAAAAAAACGCGGAATTGGCACGGCTTTTTGGCACGGACTGTAGTTTAAGTTTTCCGTGACAAAGGTATTAGGCACGGATTTTGGCACGGACACGAAAGGCTGCCAATTTCGAAGCTCCAAACCGTATGGCACGGAAATCGAGTCCGTGCCAAATATAGAGACGGCGTCACTCGTGACAAAATCGTTCCAAACTGACGGTTGTAAGAAAAACATTAAAGATATTAGGCACGGATATGTCCGTGTCAAAATTGTGTTCTTACAAATATAACATAAGTCACGGATATATCCGTGCCTTTATTTTGAAAAATTTCAAAATATTCAAAAATTTTCAAAAAATTCAAATACGCGGGGAGATTAAATTTCAAAATTCAAATATTTTTGCCACGGACATATCCGTGCCATGGATTTTAAAAATTAAAAAAAATCCTTTTTGTCACGGATTTATCCGTGCCTTAGATTTCGAAAAATTAAAAAAAAAACAATTTTGAAAATAAAAAATTAATAATACATAATAGGTCATAATTCAAATACGGAATAAATCACTCACAACATAATAATGTAGATTAATAAAAGTAATATCCATAATGAAAGTAATGTCTAGCATACAAATGAAGATCATCACAAACAAATTTTAATGATGAATAATTATAGATTTTCATTGTTTAGAAAATTGTTAACACCACAATTATTTGAATTGTGTCCTTCCGGTTGAACGTTTGGCATTTGGGGGAGGACCGTAGGTTGTTGAAAAACAGGCATGGGAGAAGGCAATTAAAACCCGCGGGAATTAAAGGTGCTCCTCATGACTTTGTCTGTGTCCGCTGGCAAAACCCCGAGCAACCATGTGTAACGAAGCTATAAATGTAATAAAAAATAAATTAGTATTGAAATAAATTAGTATTGTGTTTAGGACAGCTTGTTGGCTGGAAAAAAATTAAAAAAAATTAAAAAAACATACAAATAATATATGAGATAATAAAAAATAAAAAAATTACCCCTTCAATTCGGCCTTAGTGATCAAGCGCGGAAGATCCCTGTACGGCACCGCACTAGCCTCCGTTGAAACTCTATCTCCTCCTTTGCCGCCTCCTCCGCCCTCGACCTCGACCTCAGCCTCCAAGTCGCCACCGTCATTGAATATGGACTGCGGGGTAGTGGTAGATGGCGATTTCGGTGGTGCTCGAGAGTGAGAACGCTGAAAGCTTCCCCTACCGCGAATGCTACCGCGGAAGGAAGTGCTCCTTGCTGAAGACATTGAAAGGAGAAGGGGTTATGCGGGAGGAGGGCGGAGGAGGGAGGAGGGCGGAGGAGGGATGGCGGCGAAGAAAGAGATAAGAGGAGGAGAGTGGTTAATGAAAAAAACGAGAAAAAACATGTAAGGGGTGGTAATATAATTAAACCGTAGGCACGGACGTAAGCACGTCCCCAACCGTGCCTATACCGTGCAGTAAATATCGGATTCTTGGGTAATGGTGTAGGCACGGCCGTTGTCGTGCCAAATTTCAATATCTCTGCGTGTGGCAGGCTTTTTGTGTGAGATCCATTCTAGGCACGACTTTTTCCGTGCCTACTAGAGGGCATTAAACACGACAGTTTTTGGTAATTGCATAGGCACGGCCCTGTCCGTGCCAAACAAAATGAACTCTTCGTTTGTAGGGGTGCATTAATAGCATGTCATAAAACGAATTTATTGGGCTTGTATGTAGGCACGGCGGTTTCCGTGCCAAACTAAATGCCTCTGCAAGTGTGTCAGGCATTTGTCTAGGATTGAAATTAGGCACGGCTATGTCCATGACAAAACAGTCTTATCCTTTTCGATTTTGAATTTTATGAGAAAGGTAGGGAATTGGAACAACTAAATCCGTGCCTATTGGTTAGAATAAACGCCGTCCGACAACACCGTTAACTTCTTAATGTTTACGCTATTGGCACGACATTTGGCACGGAAAAATGCTAAGCCAAATTGAAACGCAAATAGAAACACGCCATGTGGCTAATTTCTTTTTTTCGGCGTAGTCACGGCATGTCCGTGCCTAATATTCCGTGCCAATTCCAAGAGTTTTTTGTAGTGTCAACATCTAATTCTGAAATTACAATCTAAAAGAACAAGGCCTTAGTCTCTGAGGATAGTGATGCAATGAGAAAATATTCAAAGAACAATGAAACTATTATAGATATAATAAGTCGAAAAAACATCTCGCAATGTAATTGAGATTTAAACAAATTTTGTTTGAAAGAAATTTTATTTTTATTTAAATTATGATTTGATTTTGAGATCTCTTAAGTCTTAACATTGTGATCCAAAAGAATGTTGGATGGACCTAGTAACATGTAACCTCATGTTTGTTTACAAAAAAATCACCCAAAAAAATAATCTTTAGAGTCATAGTCCAAGCTATTGTAGTTACACCTGACAGATCGATCAAATTCGGGTTTGATCACTTTGAATTTTGATTACATCGAGTTTGGATATGTTTGATAGAATATTAAAATTCGTACTAGCACTTATATTCTGTACCCAAAAAAATGAAATATCGAAATACATACATTAACACTCTTAGCATATTTTATTTTGATCATTTAATCACTCTTTAAAAATATTTAACAATATTATGAATAATACGAGTATACAAAATTAAACATGTAAGAAAATATAAGATAATTTTATGATGTCATTAAAAAAATTAAAAAAAATATAAGATGATTTGAATAGTATAAGATGATTTTATGATGTCATTAAAAAAATTAGAAATATGAGTTTATATAATAAAAAAGAGTTGTAAGGAAAAAATTAAAACATAACCTTATTTTTAATAAATTATTTTTCATACTATAGTACATTATTTTGAAAAACTCTTATGTTAGAAGGTAACTGCTTGATCAGTCAAGTTTAAGTTCGATCGGGTTAGACGCATGTTTAGCGAGTCATTTCATATTCGGTCATCTTCGGATTTGATCAACAAAATCTTTATTTAAAACCCAATATTTTTTAATCAAAATCGAATAAAAAACAGGCCGAGTCAGTTTTTGGCACACTTGTATATAGTCATCAATTTATAAGGATGGGATAAACCTCAAAAATTAGACTCATTTGCTGAAATGTCATCATATGTTTCTACATGCAAAAAGGAATATTTGGGTAAGATTTCATGCGTTTCTTGTATTTTCTAAAAGCAGACCAAAAAGAATTTTGAATGGATGGTAAGAACTCTAAGAAGAAGTGACTAAAGCTTCGCCAAAGAGAGTTGAGCACTGGAGCAGCCATCCACAAATGCTTCTTCAAAAGCCTACATGTAACCAAAGACTTGTCACTAAAAACAAACAAATACAAAAAAAAAAGTGAATAACCAACAAATACAAATACGTATTTCGCTTACCTTGAGAAAGAGAGAATTGTTGGAAAAACAATCTGTCACGTGTGACATATACTTGCCATGAAGCTTGGTCACTTTTTGAACAAAAACCTTAAACACACAACATCCATAAGGGCATGTTAGTTGGGGCATTAATTCTTTGATATTGTATTTTATTTCAAAGTTTTACGCCAACAACTTAATGAATTGAATTGAAAATAGTTTGCAACGAGCATACCTTGCTATGAGATGCATCTTTAGCCTGCCGTACCAACACCAAGCCTTCAGCGGTGACATGCTACATAAAATAAACAAATGGGAAGAACGCATTAGGGCAATGGATAAATATACTAACTAAGCATAATAGGGATTTGAAAAAAAATGAATTATGGTACCTCCTTAAACATATTGGCTACCAAATCTAATCCTTTGGGAATCTTTTGGAAAAGCCTATACATCCTCGACAAATCTTCCCGCTGACAAATATAAAAAAGGGGACATGGATAAATATATGAACTATAGATGTAACATATGGAAAGGAAAACTTAATTGTGAAATAAAATGTGTACCTTATCATCCCTGAGCAGTGCGCGACAACCAGAATGCTCCTTTTCAAGCAGTTGATTGGCGTATACTACGAGTAACTCATTTTGCACTTTCTATAGCATAAAGAATTACAAATTGTGAGTAATTTAAAGAACATGTGGGTATATAGAGGTCATTTTTTTGTTAAATGTTTGATGCATCAATGCATCTACTGCCCAAAGCTTCATAGGAAGTAAGACGCAAGGAAAGTTTACTATCACCTGTATTTATTCCAATATTTACTTAAAACTTAAAAACATTGTACAACTCGCATCGGCTCTAAACCCAATATAATTCAAATTTCGTTGGGTTCATGTTCTATGTTAAGATATATACCTCTAGGAGCTTGGCTTCACTATTGGGATGTAGATAATGAGAAACTCTTTCTTTTTCTTTCTTCAAACACTCCTCCGTCTATAGTTAAAAGAGAATAGAAGTTAAGTTGCATCTTAATTAAGAAGGTTAGACATGCATGGAAGACTAAGTAAAGGAAGAAGGGATGGATGAATCAAATTCACCTTCAACATGTAATCGGGACAAGAGTCCTCGACTATCCAGTTTGATGCCTTTCGAGCATAAAAGGCAGCAGTATCCTTGAGCATGGCATCTTCAAAGTCATTCTCGTAGTATTCCATCTGTCCCATCCCAATTTCGACAAAAAAGTCCAGTACATTCTTGAGTAACGCTCTGTCAATATACTCGCCCTCACGTTCTTGATCAATCTGGTACGGAAGTAGTCTTTTTTCAATTACAAATGTGTTGCAAAAATGTGTACAAATTGTGAAAACATTTGATGATACTTGAGACTTACCAGAGCTATAACAGCATCTCTAGCTTTAATTTTGAACTCCTGGTAAACCTGTTGTGAAGGAGGGTGCAAATAAATGCTAAGAAAAAAAATATCATCTCAAACCAACAGAGTTAAACGGAAAATAAGGGAACAAACCATGTCACGGAAGCACATAAACCCAACATTGCGAAGAGAAGGGAGTCCACGCCGTGCAATATAGCATCTGTCAAGATAGAGGAAAAATCTAGAAAGCCACCTGACCATAATGTTGTGATTTGCCCATCTTTTAACAAGCTCCTTTAGCATGAATTCGTCATGGTTCTCTCTCAAAGAGGGCAAAACCTGCAAATTAAAAACAGAGAAAATCAGCTGCAAAAACAAAAAAAAACAAAAATAAACTAACTTGAAGTTGTTCATTCATAGACCAGCAGAACGAAATCCTTACTACTGAATTGATGTAATCAACATATGTTTCATTGTACTTGTCATATAGCTGAGGAGCATAATCATGAGGAGGTTTCTGTGTGCTCATATCATAAATAGTGCTAATGCATAATTAAGGAGGAACAACAACTATATTCTGTTCGGTTTCCATGTTCATATCACATATCATTAATTAGTTAATGTCAATTAATGATCTAAAACAAAAAAAGGATAGAGTAAAGCAACGTAGACTCTTCGGCGGTAAAAGACTCGGGTTCCCCTTCCAAGATCCTCTCTAGCTTTGCAATACCCTCGCGGATAACTTCCAGTCCTTCATCCAACCCTATGATCTTCTTCTTCACTTGCTCAGCCATATCTCGACTCAGATTACTTCGCTTATATCTTCTCGTGTAGTACAACACATAGCAAAAACAAAAAAACAAGAACTTGATCAATATGATTGCATCAAAACAAAACAATAAACTCAAACAGAAAAAAAATTTCCCTAGATGCTTAAATTAAACTCCGCAGGGAAATAGAATGTGTATGAGAATATATATATATAAAGCAGGTAAAATTGATTGGAGATGAAAAAGCGGAAATCAAACCCTAAATAATCCACACGGAGTGTTGCTTCAAATCTTCAGCGCGAAGGCGGGGAGAATTTAGTTTGGCTTGGCGGAAGGTTATGTATATATATGGGGGCAAGACAACAGTATTCTACTCCGTCAATTCAAATGGGTTTTGAATCTTGTGTCCTATTCCTAAAAAAAATAAAAGTGAGAGAGTTTATTTTTAGTTTAATTTATTAAAATAATGTTAATCTGAAGTTTTTGAAAAAAAAGTTTGTACCATGTACAAAATATTGCTCTTTTTATCTCCATCTCTTCAGACGATTTCACAGTGTCAAACTTAACTATTCGTTTCATAAAATAATATAATCATGTCATCTTTTATTTTGTAGAATTTTTCATGTAATTTTTTACTATATTTCTCGTACATCTACATAAATATTTATTGTCGAGTTGTTGAATATTTATTTTCGAGCAATAAAATATCAAGTTTCGAGTAAGTGAATGCTCATTTTCGATTCTAACTAAAGTTTAGAGAAATGAGTACTCAGTTTATTCAAGAATGAGTATTCACTTGTTCAAAAATGAATATTCAGTTACTCGTAAATGATCACTCGCTACAGATGTATGAAAAATTTATTACTAACCCGTTATACACTTCTACTATGAGTTGTTTGGGAATAATATTAGAGGTTGGTGTTATCATTTTGAAAAGGCTATCTACGGGCAGCATTTAACGTTAGCATTTTCAAAATTAATCTAAGGACCTGTTTGAGAATAACGTTAGAGCTAGCGTTAAAATTTTGAAAAGATTATTTACAATACTGTTTAGCGTTTTCAAAGTAATCTGTACCATTTAAATTTTATTAAAATACTTACCTAATCTAATGCTATTTCCTCTAAAATATACTCCGTATCTAAAAGTAGCTAATGCAAAAAGCTAACTAGCTTGGCTATGTTTGGTAACAGCTTTTTCGATTAGCGTTAGCGTTTTGGATAAAATTTTAACGGTGCAGATTAATTCTGAAAACGTTAACGCTAAAGGCTACCGTCGGATAACTTTTTCAAAACGCAAACGCTAATTATATTTTGCAATTTGTGAGTGAATTCCTTGTTTTGAAAGAGAGGGTTGAGTTGGTTGACTTAACTTGGTTCCACTTTCCAATTTGCTGCGGCTTGGCACCATCATCGACGATCCGCGAATTTACAGACGACATCGACTCGTCTGGATCTCTCTCACTGATTTCATATTCGTCGTCTCTCCATTTAGCAGTCAGCGCCTAAAGTCCAGCTGCCAATCAACCACAATCGGAATCGAGGTTTGATTACCCTTCTTTTAATCACTCGATTTATCATTCTTTTTCCTCTCTAATTCCTGATCCGCCGTTGCCCCTTGGTTCTCTTTTCCTTGCCTCTCTTCATTCGTTATATTAGATCTGCTCTGCCATAAGCCATAAAAAAGGGACCAGCCCTGATTCTCATCCAACTTAGAAATGAGGATGGTGGGATTAACTGGAGGAATTGCTTCAGGGAAGAGCACTGTCTCCAATTTTTTCAAGTCCAATGGCATTCCCGTAGTCGATGCCGACATTGTTGCTCGTGTAAGTACCATCCCTTAGTGTGGCGTTATCCTCATTCCATATTGAGCTCCAAAAGCATCTGATTGTTGGTAAATTATTGGTGCATTTAAGCGCTTCATAATCTCAGTTGTGGATGAATAATGCATTGATGTTATGATTACTGCAATGCACAGAATGTCTTGAAGAAGGGCACTGGTGGATGGAAAAAAGTTGTGGCTACATTTGGGGAGGACATCTTACAGACCAACGGCGAGGTGGATCGCGCAAAACTGGGTCAAATCGTCTTTTCCGACCCTGCGAAACGGCAGCTTCTTAATAGGTGTGAATTTTGTTATTTGAACTTGGCTATGTTTTTTCGGCCCGGTTCCATGGCCACTGAATTCCAGTGGCCACGGAAGCCACTGCCCCCTACGGAGCTCCGTTCATAAAATTGATGATTCCTACCCCCCTAACCCCCCTGGTAAACCCCCTGCCAAGTCCCGACCCAAACTCATCCCCCACCTATGTCAATTGCACCTCGTAAGCATAATTGACTTTAAAGTCAAAAGTTTTGACTTTATGCTTACGAGATGCAATTGACGTAGGTGGGGGGATGAATTTGGGTCGGGACTTGGCGGGGGGGTTTACCAGAGGGGTTAGGGGGTAGGAATCATCAATTTTATGAACGGAGCTCCGTAGGGGGCAGTGGCTTCCGTGGCCACTGGAATTCAGTGGCCATGGAACCGGGCCGATGTTTTTTTGTCATAATTTGAGATTATCTTTGTGATGGGATTAAATGGACTAAATCAAAAATGACACATTAAGCTCTACTCCCTGTGAAGTTTTGGGCACTAAATGCAGGAATGCATTTAGTGTCTAGCGGAAACAAACTATCTCTTTATGCAGGGATAAGAATGCTCACATTTAGACCCTACGTTGGGATTATACTTGGTTGTTGTTGACTTGTTGTTATAGTCTCTAGGGGGCATCACTCTCTAGCTAAGGGGACCTCCTCATATGCGTCATAATGTATTGTAAACTCTGCACGCTTTTCATGTGATTTTTGCATTGATGCATTTGTAGGCTGTTAGCGCCTTACATTTCACGTGGCATCTTTACCGAAGTCTTGAAGTTGTGGCTGAAGGGTTGCAAGATAATTGTTCTAGATGTGCCCCTTTTATTTGAAGCCAAGATGGACAAATGGACTAAACCTGTTGTAGTTGTTTGGGTTGATCCTGAAACACAGCTCCAACGGCTCATGAAGAGGGACGGATCAACAGAGGAAGATGCCAAAAGTAGGATAAGTGCTCAAATGTCTCTCGATGTGAAGAAGGAGAAGGCAGACATTGTGATTGACAATAGAGGGCCACTAGATGCTTTGGAGGTGCAGTTTGGGTCTGTACTGATTCAGATCACAAAGCCACTGACTTGGACCGAGTATGCACTTACAAGACAGGGAGCTATTCTTGGTCTGGTTTCTATTTTTGTTGGCATTTCCATATGCAGGACTTGTGTGTGATTATTTGTACACTCTGTACTGTTTAGACTTGTGGGTTTGGTTCTTAAAGATGTATCCCAAGGTTTTGAGCAGAGTATATAATGGGTGTTTAGCTTGGCTTCAAAAAAAAAACTTCAATAACAAGTCATACACAGTACCTCACACAAGAAAACCACACCTTCCGTCCCCCAAAAAGTTACTCATTTAAATTACTCATTTTCACTTAACTCGTGTGATTTGTGTTCTTTTCTTTATTTCCTTTGTTTCTTTCTGTGTTCTTTTTCTACCCTTAGCTTGCTCTTTTTTATTCGTGTTATGTGCTTTTTTTTTTTGCTTGGGTTGGGAGTCTCTTGAAAAAACTCTTACTTTCTAGTAGAGGCTTGTGTACTTTCATTCTTTCCCGATCCTACATTCTTGCGATCATATTAGGTTATTGTTGTTGTTGATGTCTCAAAGTTTTTCCATTTTTTTGTACTTTGTAATAATTATGCGGTCGATTTTTCTCTTTACCTAAATAAATTTTAGTTATATATCTATACTTTTTATGGTTTTTTTCCTCTTAGAGTTTGTGATTGTATTAGTTTGTATTTGGTTGGGGGAAAATACAACCTAATACAAATATATGACGAGCGTTTTCACATTATATTAGATTATATTGCATTTAAAACTTTTTCATGCAAAGTGACCAAACACGAGAAATCATTTTCTTGACAACAAATACATGTATATACCATTTACATTTAATACTTTTGGTTTCCTCACTCTTGAGTTGTGGAGATGCTTATAGTCGTGTCCAACTAATCATGCATAGTTATGCTATGACCCCTTTCTAGAAATCTAATTTTTTAAAGACTTAGTTTTGTAATTCAAAAGAGACTAGCGACACAACTTGTTCCTAGTTTATTTTTTTTTTTGATGTATTAAATTTCTCATTTATCAAATATAAAGAATGAATAATCAACTTGACAATTTTATGTCATCAATTAAATATAAATTATACTCGTATTGCATATTAGTACAAAAATGATTTCATTAAATTTATCTTATACAAAACTTTCAAGTCATGTAATTTTTATGTAATTGATAATTAAAATCCATCTATTATGACTCAAAAATGTCAAGCTAGACTAGTAGATACTCTAGCACGAAATGTTTTTTTTGTTTAGTATGGTTATTTAGCTTTTTAAAAAAATAACATGATTATTAAGTTTTTTGTATGTTTTTATTTAATGTTGTTATTATATGCAATTACGGTTTAAAAATGTTATATCATCATTTACACAAATTGAATTGAAAAGGAATTAGTCAGTATCATATTTTAAAATGGCGAGAATAACATGATGCCCTTATCACGAAAATACTTATATGAATAAAGTGTTAGATAATCGAAATCTTTTCATAAAAAAAAAGAGGAAAAGAAAATAACTTAATAAATAAAATAACAAAAAATGGAGTAAGATAATTGTGATTTCATATAATCCCAAGTGTAGTAATGCTAAAGTATAAATGATGACCATTAAAATAAAAAACATGTTCGGGATTCAGACGATCTGTGATAAAACTGAAAAAGGTATAAAAGTAATTCTGGTGTGCCGATTGAGAATTTTAGAGTTACCAAAATCAAGATAGTTCTTTTGGGAAAAAAAAATAAATGCATCAAGTCATCAGAAAAGATAAAATACAAAAGAAAAGATTTTGACAACCTAGGTTGTGATTAACACTATGAGCAAGAGTGTGAGCAATAACGTTATCAGAACGACGAACAAAAGAAACAAACACAAAATCAAACAGAACCATAATGAAATCAAGACAAGTTTCTTATGAATAATGCCTTTTTCGTCGCAAGGCGTGTTTGAACTAATTTCTGGAACATGTAGTACATTTTAGAGAGTTACCAAAAACTTAAGTACTAATATATATGGTTCGACCAGAAATGCTTTATTTCTTTGATATATTTTTGAGGTGTCGGGATTTCTTTTAAGAAATACGGAGTAATCACATGTAAATTTCTTGACCAACCCAATGAAAGGAAGACTAACACATTCTAACTAACATTTTTTGGTCTTTGATATATGAGAGGGAAACACTCGTGTATAGATTTAACATGAGTTTTTCTTCTTGTGGGCTTTGGAACCGGTGTTTTCACATTAGATTTGTCGGTTAGACTCTGTTAAAAGTGGTCTCATGTAAAGTGGTCAAGTACGATAAAGCGTGCCATGACAACCAACACATGTAGATATCATTTGTATCTAACATCTTTGGTTTCCTTGAGCATGGTGGCTGAGATCGTGGAGATAATTGATTGTGTTCAACACGACATGCATAATTGTGTTATGACTCCTAAATTTATAAAGATAGTTTTTAAAACTCAGTTTTGTAATTTACAAAGGGTTATCGGCATAACTTATGGCTTGTTTGCCTTCCATTTTGGTGTATTGTTTGGATTCCCATTTATCAAATATAACGAATGAATAATCAACGAGACAAATTTGCATCATCAAGTAAATATAAAATATGTTACATATTAGATTTATTATAAAAACTTTTGAAAAATTATAATGTCATGTAATTTTTATGTAATAGATGACTAAAATTCATTTATTATGACTCAAAAGTCACACTAAAGAAATAAATATTCTAGTAAGAATTTTTTGTGTTTATATGATTATTGGTTTTTTAAACAACATGCTTAATGAGCATTTTATATGCATTCATTTGATGCTATATATGTGTGTGTGTATGTATGTATGTATATGTGTGTGTGTGTGTGTATATATATATATATATATATATGTAACTATTCTTTGACAATATAAATTTATTATTTAAATAAAATAAATTAAAAAAATCAATCAACTATCATATTTTAAAAAGGGACTTTAATTTTAGGGCAAATAGAGTACATAAGAATCTTTATATAAGAAAATGCCACTCATAAAATAAAAATAAAAATAAAATTAAAATAAAAATGAGGCAACCATAGTGCATGGCCCAGCCTACATGTCCCAATCATTTTTTGGGCCGACTTGACTAAAATCAAGGCGGTTAGACATCGTATCACACAAATGAGCCGCGCGCCTAGTGGCACAATGGTCTAAACAACAAGATGCCAAAATGAGGAAAATATTAAGACAAATAAAGTGTTAGGTAATGAAAATCTTTTCATAAAAAGAGTAAACGTGATAAGATGAATTGGGATAGCTAGGGATCATTTGGGTTAAACTATATTAAAATATTGAATTCAATCGAGTACTTAGTTCAATTTAATAACTTATATATTCATTATTTTTCTTTTCCACTTTTGACGTGAGATACTTTTTAGCAGTCCCCTTCAAATGAATAATTGAATTATTTTGAATCTATTTGATTAAGAACTTACAAATGGATACACAACACCTCAAAAAAATATTTAAGAAGCAACACCTAAAAAATTCGAGTCACTAAACTTGGGCTTCAGATGAACAATCAAATTAAATAGTCACTAGTCGTTGCCTCGTTGGGTACGTATTTCATACAAATAAATGGGCTAAAGACTAAGGTAATTAGGAATGAACGTATAGACAATAAATGAGGTGAACCAAAACTTGTTCCGATATCCTGATAAAATATAAAATTGGGGTAGGAACCACGGGACTGATCATAAGACATGTGTGATGTTAAAAGATTAAATCCAATCAATCATATGACTGATAGAACTCATCTAGTGGGCGTAAGAGACACATGCTTCTTTGTCTCTCGAAATCAGATTCTTTTTAAATATTTGGCTAGACATAAAATAAATTCAAATTTAGTATCCTCAGAAATCATAAATACTTTAGTGGAGAGTTTTGATATCTCAAATATGAAAGATATCAATGCAAGGGTTTGATATTCCTCTCAACATATGACCACCCTCGTTGTCCGCTATCCCCGCCAACCACTAGCTAAATCATGGTTTTAAATTTTCCAAACACTTCAATTCAGATTTAAAAACCCATACCATTTCTCCATATTTCAAAATCTATATCGAATCATATCCCTGAAACTCCTCAAACAAGCAATTAGTTCAACTCAAAAGCTTATATACATATTATTTTCTCTCGATACGAGATTTTTTAACACAAATATAATAAATTAATAAATAAGATAACAATAAAAAAGGAGTAAGATAATCGTGATTTCATAAATGATAATGCGTAAGTATAAATGATAGACCATATAAATAAAAAACGTGTTCGGGATTTAGACGATTTGCGATAAAACTAAAAAGGAATAAAATTAACTCCGATACGCAGATTGACAAATACCAAAAATTCTTTTACTTTGATTCGAAAAAGTCAAATTGGATGAATACTCTGGGATGAAAGTAGTAATAAAAAAACATCATGAAACAACAAGACTCAGAAAAAATGAGATTATTTAAAGTCACAAATACCACTATTTCAATATCCCTAGAAAATAAAATATTTTTGTAACGTGAAAAGAAAATATTTTTTTAATTGTTTCGATTTCAATACGAATAAATCAAAGTAGGACTACGTGAGTCTCGAATTGTTTCAGTCCGTTTCTATAAATAGATAGTGAGAGTGAAACAAGTAAAAACTTGAACCATTCCTAGGGGAGTCCACACCTATAAAACCATAGATCCAATTGTTTCAATTATTTTTGTCAAGAAAAAAGAAAGGTGTTGAATCCAAAAACCAAGAAGAAAAGGGGGGATTTTTTTGCAAGAAATAAAAAATCTCAACAGGAGAGGCCGAGGCCGAGGAGGTTGATAACTACTCCGTCATTTTCACGTTTTATTTGCTTGCTTTCCTTCTTTCTTTCTTGGAAGTCTCAAGCTGATATAGGGGATCGAAGAAGAAAGAGTTTAAAGATCAGAAGAAGAGGAAGAAGAACATGGTCGAGACACGACGAAGCACATCTTCGTCCAAACGCCCTCCTTCTTCTCGATCCTCACCTCTGCCCCATGGAAAACGACCCAAGGTTGGATTTTGTATTTTTTTCTTTAAATTCTTGCAGATTTTGAATCGAGCTGAAGATTTGTTCCCGAGTTTGGGTCTATCTGCATGTCTCAGTGTTAATGGAGATTTGGGATACAGAGGGTCGTTTTGATTTTTTTTATTTATATTATTTCTTGGGGCCGTTGATCGGATTTGCAGGCGGGAGAGGCTTCT